ATTCAAAACACAGAACCAAGGAGGAGCTTAGCCTGAGACCTGCTGGATGAATTCTATCCCTTAAGACTGATAACAACAATAATAACAATAATTATGACGACGATGACAGCAATGAGGATGTTATCACTTGGCAGGCACACCATCACAAATGGAGTACTTCCTGGAATGCAGAAGTGGACGCCCATATGAGAAACAGAAGGATAAGAAGGGAGGGGAAGGGGTAAATTGACATCCCTTGGTGTCAGCAAGCACTGTTCTCATTCATTCACTTCCCAAATCCCAAGACTGGAATTTGCCACTGGACAAGTGGAACAAACTGAGGCTTCTCAGGGCTGCTCAGTTATTGCTTCTTTGGCTTGATCAGGCAAGTAGCCTATTCCCAGAGGCCCCTAAACTGCAAGCTTTGGCTTGGGGGCTGGCCCCTGTGTGCAAGGGTAGGCCCCAGAATGCCCTGACATAGGCCAGGAAAAATCCCTAGAGAACGGTCCTATATCCATTTGAGAGAGGAAAGAGTTCAATTCTCACCCTTCAGCTCTTCTCTGCTCCACCCTCCTGTCAGCCCCTTCCAGAGGGGTCGAGCCAGAGAGTCAGGAGCTGCCAAGGAAGTAATGAGTAGACACCAGGGCAGATAGGACTCAATGGCAAAAGAGGAGCCAGCAGACACAAAGTTGAAAAGTCAGCCTTGAAGAACCAGACAAGAGACTCCATGGAGAATCCAGTCCGTAAGACAGTGGAGGGCAGCTAGGGTAATCGGGAGGAATTGATAACTGTTAGGCTGCAAGGGACACAGATGGGCAGACGGACGGCAGAGATCATTCTGTATAGCTAGCCAGATAGTGGGCGGGGGCAGGGGGGAATAAGGGGTATGCTGCTGGATGGGTCTGGACAGATGGACAGCCAAATGGTGGTATTAGGGAGGCATGCCCAGAACAGAAAGACAGCCAACCAGACAACAGGGGCTGCCCCTGATAAATGAACCGCCAGTCAGACCGCAGGGGTCTCCCTGATAAATATCTAAGTGGCAGGTTTCATCCCTGATGGAAGGACAGATGAGCAGGAGGATCTATCCCCGATCACAGGCAACCAGGTGGCAGAAATGACCTACAAAAAGTGGGACCAGATAACACTGCGGGGGTCTACCGCACTCCTTGTTCGACGATACCCAGCCCATGCGACCACCCCTGGGTCTGCACCCCAGCCCCTGCAGGGAACCCTCCGCCCAGGCGTCCCACAGGGACCGCCTCCTTGTCCCAGTCGCGGGCACGCAAACGCCGCAGTTACGCCGGCGGCGCAGGGAGCGCCATTCCCGGTACGCCCTCCGCGCCCTAGGCCGCCGCCCTCCCGCAGTCCCCGCCGCGCTCGCTCACCGACCCACGAAGTTCTCGAGTACTGAGCTCTTGCCGGCGCTCTGGCCGCCCACCACAGCGATCTGCGGCAGGTCCAGGTGGCAGCTCTGGCCGATGGAGCTGAAGGCGTCCTGCAGCTTGTTGACCAGCGGAATCAGCTCTTCCATTCCGCGGTTGCCCATGGCGCCGGCGGCCCCGGCCCGAGCGCCCGGCGCTCCGCGCCCACCCCCGACCCTTAACGACCCGGCCCCGCGGCGTCGGTGGCCGTTGCTCCCTGCCCGCCCGGGTCTTGGCGCGACGCCCGCTCCCGGCTCGGCCTCACGGTCGCCGCCTCATCCGGTTCTCAGGCGACATCCGACCTGAGCGACCTCCCGCCCCGGCCTGTGGGCTGCTCCCAAAGCACTTGTGTTGCAGCCGATTGGTCAGAACCGCTATCACTCCTGCACTTGAGCCAATGGAGGCGAGGCACGGACCTAAGGCTATGTAAGCCTTCCCCCTAAGGAACGTCACGCAAGTTCATTGGATGAAAGAAGTGTCGCTGGTGTCCAAAGGCCAATGGGAGCGGAAAACGAGTTGTCAAAGCAGCGGGGCGGTGTCTCGGGAAACTACATGTCGGATCCGCCCAGTAGGGAGATCTGCGCCTTATTGGTAGGCAAACACGCCAGTCATGAAAGCTGACCAATGATGTAAGGAACCGATCCTAAAACATTGATTTGTCTCTTGACACTACCTACTTCCCTATAAATTTCCCATTGGCTTATATAAATATCACTTCTCAATTCCAGCCAATAAGGGAAAAAAGGGTGGGCTTTAACATCCGAATCTTGACTCTGATTGAAGACTGTATCTGTCAGTTGAAGGAACTCCGTTCTTACCAGTGATGTTCGTGTTAGTCTTCTGAAGGGGAGGGTAAGATCCACCGTACTTGCCGAGGGGTGACACCTTGTGGTAGTAACCAGTGATTGTCACTTGAGTTCCGGGGTCTTGAGAAAAACTACAAGTCCCAGAATGCCTCATGGCTCCCAGCCCGCAAGTCAGCTTTCGGAGCAGGGTCCCTACTCGCTTTGAAGATGAGTCAGACGACACTATTGCTTCCTAGGGAGGTCAGTCACGCCTTTGCAAATATGGTGCCTCCCCCCATCTGCGAGTGTCCCATCTTAATGCGAGGAACGCTCCAATGTTGTTTTCCAGTCTCTTCAATTTTAGCCCATCACGGATCTGAGAACTCAATGAAACAACAGGATCCTTTCCCTAATGCAAAGCCGCTGTTTTTCAGACAAAGGTGGGGATTCTGGAAACTGTAACTCTAGGCCCAAAGTGATTTTATCCCTCTGGGCATACGTGGGCCAGAAAACAGGGAATTCAGTGTGTTAATAGGAGCAACACAGAATGCAGAAGGGGATTGACACGAGTGGGTACACTGACATGCAGAAACAGTGGGAAGGAGGATGGCAGAGTGGCCGATAGTATATGCCTGCTCCAAGACAGGTCTCAAAAATGGGCAAAAAAAAATTATTTACACCTTTTTTTCCCCCCCTTTGGAGGTAATAAAGAGCTTTTTACTCTCCAAAACTGAAAACAAATAAGTGTGAAGGGGAGAGAACAATCAACAAGGTCTGGTATTGCAGAAACTAGAAACTCCCTGTCCATTCAAGGAGTTGGTTGAATAATAATATGCAGAAACTGTAAAATAAATAAATAAATAAATAAATAAATAAATAAAAGAAAACCAAAAGATTAGAAAGCTCTTTATGTACTGGCCTATATAAAATTTGAGGATACTAAGGTGGGGAGGAATAAAATTCAGAACTGCATTGTACAGGATTCTGACTTTAGAGAAAAACAATATACATACAAGGAAATTTTCTGGAATACATAAATTAATACAAATAGTTTCACTATTGAGTTGTTCCTCACAACTTTTTCAGTTTTAAAAACCTAACTTAAAAACACCAGCTTTGTAACAGCTCATATTTGGGTTAGATCATGGGCCACTTTGTTAACCTGTGTGATCCTGTGGCCTAAATGTTTCTGATTTCCCCAGAACTCATGTTGAAACCTAACCCCAATGTGATGGTATTTGGAGGAAAGAACTGATTAGATCATATGAGCAGAGACCTTTTAAATGTAATTAGTGCCCATATAAGAGACCCCAGGAAGCTACTTTGTCCCTTATACCATGTGAGAACACTTTGAGAAGATAGTCATCCATCTATGAACTAGGAAGCAAATCCTCACCAAACAACAAATCTGCTAGCACCATGATTTTTCCAGCCTTCAAAACAGTGATGAATAAATTCCTGTGCTTTCTAAGCCACCCAGTTCATGTCTGAACAGACACTGATAGTAACCAAATAGCTTCATAGCTCTGAACCTCGATTTCCTCATCTATAAAATGGGAACATATCTGTATCTTGCATCATAACTTTGCAAGAATTAAATACACATGACAACACTTTAAAACAGTGACACAGGGAATGACAGCTTAGGAACTTAGTGATAGTGTGTGTGAATGTGCCTAGCTTGCCAGAGGCCCTAGGTTCCATTCCCAGGATGGCCCCCAGAAAAGAAAACATGCCATAGCGTAAAAATGTTAGATCACATGTATTATCACATCATTTACTGACAGCTACACTGTGCCACATGTCAATTGAAACTAAAAGCCAGGCATGGTGGCACATTCCTATAATCCTAGCTACTTGGAAGGCTGAGACGGGAGAACCACAAGTTCTAAGCAGCCTAAGCAAGTTAGTGAGACCCTGTCTCAAAATACAATTTAAAAGGGCAGCGCTGGGGATGTAGCTCAGGGGTGCAGCACTTGCCTGACATATGTGAGGCCCTCGGTTGAATTAAGAGTCAAGACTAGCCAGGTGCCACGGCACACATCTGTAATCCCAGCAGGGGATGAGGCAGGAGGATTTCGAGTTCAAAGCCAGCCTCAGCAACTCAGTGAGGCACTTAACAACTTAACAAGACCCTGTCTCTAAATAAAATATTAAAAAGGGATGGGGATATGGCCCAGTGGTTAAGTACCCCTAGGTTCAATCCCCGGTACCCCCCCCCACTTCAAAAAAAAAAAAAAAAAGAGTCAAAGGCTGGGGTTGTGGCTCAGTGGTAGAGCACTTGCCTAGCACGAATGAGGCACTGGGTTCAATCCTCAGCACCACATAAAAATAAACAAAGCTATTGTGTCCATCTCCAAAAAAATAAATAAATAAATAAGAGTGAAGACAAAAAGCAGAATCAAACTGCCATTTCCTTGACGGTGACCTTAGGTAAGCTATTTCCTCTCCCTGGGCCTGTTTCTTTACCTGTCAACAGACGGACAAGAGTGATCACCTCCGGAGTAGTTGGGAAGCCTGGGCCACAGGAAAAAGGATGTAGCTACCACCCTGAGACCACATCCTACATGCTGGGCTGTGCCAAGTGGTTTCCAGTTACCAGCTGCTGCCATGTTCCTTTTTTTCCCCTCCCCCCTGCACTGCTGGGGATGGAACCCAGGGATTCCTGCATGCTAAGCATGGTCACTACCACTGAGCCAATGTGGTCACTTCTTACTGTCAGTGGGAGGGGTGGACAATCCAACTGCAGTAATGCTCAGTCTGGGAAGGTAATGGGGACAGGCCGCCTCCCCAAAAGAAAACAGACACATACTACGTTATAATTTTTAAAAGCTTAAAAAATCCTTCAGTATCTTCCAGCCCCAACCTCCATTTCCCTTGGTCAGGTCAGCCCAGTGTTATTCCCACAGAGGCCAGGGCTTCGGTGGCCCAGGTGGGACAAAGGGTGTGGTCCCCATACATGGTGCTCATGAAGTTCCTCACGAAGTCAGGGAAGCGCTTCTCCACGATACTGGTGCGCATGGCACTCATCAGCTGCAGCTGCAGGAAGGGAGCATCAGCATGGGCCAGGGGCACCCAGGAGACCTCCCCCTGCCCTCACCCACCCCCAGGTATAGGCCCACCTGGTAGGCGATATTGTGGACAGTGAGGTGGTGCAGGGCGGCTGTGTTGTCGCTGTGGAGTAGAGCGTGCAGGAAGGCCCGGCTGTGCCTGTAGGTCAGCAGGGGGTGGCTGAGCAGAGCCCCGCTTTCCCCACCTCCAGCCCCCAACTACATCACCTACTTCTTGCAAGTGGGGCAGATGCACTCGGGGTCTATGGGGCCAAAGTCCTTCTCATACTGCTTCTTCTTCAACTGCAGGTTGCCTGTGGGCACCAGGGCAGAGCCAAAGCGCTGGGGACCAAGAATGGCAGTGGAGGGCAGATCACAAGGTCTGAATCCTTCCTGGTCCCTCTCCCGCTTCCCCCATCTCCCTCCCTGCCAGTACCCTGCCCATCTGTCAGCTCCCTGCCCAGGGCCTCACCGCTGTCCTTGTGGGATAAACACAGTCGAACATGTCACATCCAAGAGCCACGCAGACCACCAAATCGGTAGCATAGCTGGGGGTAGGGGGGCAGCCATGGAGGGAGTAAGAGAGAGCCTGAAGCCTTACATGGGCTTCCCAGGCCCCTATCCCACCCCTAGCTGGGCCACATTGTCTCAAAACCATCCCCTGGGGGCAGTCATGTCCTCCTTAGTTCCCCCACAGCAGGGCTGTATCCTTCCCCCATGTCTTCTACAAGGGAGGGAAAGGGTGCTCAGGAATCTGCTCCCCATAGGCAGGGTTCTGTCTCCTCTCACCCCAACATACCCAACGCCCATCAGGTAGCGGGGCTTGTCCTTAGGCAGCCTGGAAGTGCTCAGTGCCACCATCTTCCAAAACTGGGCCTTGCTCTCACCACCACTCAGGCCTCCGATGGCGAAGCCTGGCACGTCCCTTTTGGTCATCTCTGAGGGTACAGATGGTCCTCAATTTACAATGATTTCTGAATTTTCCACTTTACAAAGATGCAAAAGCATACCCATACAATCATCGGGTTTTCTACCTTCAGGGCTGTATTCAATAAATAACATGAGAACATCATGTAAAGACAGGCTTTTTGTCTAATGATTTTGCCCAACCTTAGGCTAACACACATGTCCTGAGCACATTTAAGGTTGCCTAAGCTGAGCTACAATGTTCACTAAAGCAAATGTATTAAATGAATTTCAACTTACAATGTTTTCAAGTTATGATGGTATAACCCCATCATTGACCTGAAGAATAGGGTAAGGTAAGGGGTGACCAGACAAAAAGGAAATGTACCTCATATCCTTGTCCCCAGGAAAGACCTTGTCTAGATATCCATAAGACAGAGAGAAGGAAGAGGAGATATAACACACAGGAGGAAAGGAATCTGTCTATGGATGCTGACTCTGAGTGCCCTACATGTAAGACCCTCTACTTAATTCTCAGGAGAAGCCCATGACCCACACTTCCATTGCTGAAACCTTTGGAGTCAGATGAGTTTAGGAGTTCAGAATTTTCTAGATTTGAGAATGTGTAAACATTCCATATGCTGAGTAAGATCCTGGCATCAAACCTTGTAACATTTCTACAATTTAAAATACATGAATTCTGGAAGGCCACCAAATGAATGGCAAATTCCAAAGCACGCTAGATTTTAGAATTGGGTCTTGAACCTCTAGAATGACTAATGTTTAGTGACCTGTTATCCCTCAGTTTCTACAAAGGTTTGGTTCCACAGGGGTCCTGTGGATACCACAACCCAAGGATGCTAAAATCCCTCATATCAAATGGTATACTACTTGCATATAACCTATGTACATCCTCTTATAGACTGTATTTCTTTATTTTGGTACCAGGGATTGAACCCAGAGAGGCCTAACAGAGCCACACCCCCAGCCCTTTTTATTGTTTATTTTGAGACAGGGTCTCACTAAGTTACTTAGGACCTCACTAAGTTGTTGATGCTGGCATTGAACTAGTGATCTCCTACCTCAGCCTCCCAAGCTGCTGGGATTATAAGCATGCACCACCATGCCCAGCCCTCTCTAGATGACTTATAATGCCTAATACAATATAAATGCTATGTACTTGTTGTAATATGGCACTCTGTAGGAAATAATGAAAAGAAAAACATCTGTAATGTTTAGTACTGATAAAATTTGGGGCTGGGGGGTACCAGGAATAGAACCCAAGAACATTTTTTTTTTTTTAAAGAGAGAGAGAGAGAGGGAATTTTTTTAATATTTATTTTTTAGTTTTTGGCGGACACAACATCTTTGTTTGTATGTGGTGCTGAGGATCGAACCCGGGCCGCACACATGCCAGGCGAGCGTGCTACCGCTTGAGCCACATCCCCAGCCCCCAAGAACATTTTACCATGGAGCTATGTACCAGTTTTGTTTTGTTTTCAGAAAGTCTTGCTAAGTTGCTGAGGGTCTCACTAAATTACTGAGGCTTATAAGCTTCCTGCCTCCACCACCTGAGTGTTCTTGGGTTTATAGGCATGCACCACTGCACCTGACTCAGATGCAAATTTTTTTTCCCACATATTTTCAGACCATGATTGGTTAAGTCTACAGTTATAGAACCCAAGGGAAAGGAGGTGCAAATATAGCATCAATCAACTCATCATTGACAGATGAGGAAACTAAGCCTTCACAGCTTAAACCATTAGCCCAGGCTGTATATGCCAAAAACTGGATATTACCTCCAACTGGCCTCCAAGCCCATGCATGTCTCAGACCCCAACTACCCAGTTCAACCTAGTGAGGCCATACTATTAATAAAGCAGGTGCTATCTGGAGCCGGGTTTCTTTTCTTCCCTTTTTCTTGGTACTGGGGGTTGAACCCAGGGGCGCTTCACCACTGAGCCACATACCCAGGGTATGAGACAGGGTCTTACTAAGTTACTGACCCATTTAGAGCCTCACTAAATTGCTGAGGCCAGGAATGGGAGAGGGGCCCAAAAGGCTGCACATGACCAGATGTTCTGCTGCAGGTGAGCCTTGGAACAATACTTTGAGCACTTTGGTGCTTGTCAAGCTACAGGTAGACAAGAAACGAATTTGTTTAAAGGATTATCAGCCCTGTTGTTTTTTATTTTTAATATATTTTTTTTTAGTTGAAGATGGACATAATATCCTTGTTTCCTTTATTTATTTTTTTTAATGTGGTACTGAGGATGTGAGATAAGTGCTCAACCACTAAGCTACAACCCCAGACCTCAGGCCTGTTTTTAGTTTTTCATTTTTTAACGAAAGAGAACAGAAAATACCAGAAAGCATCAGGTGTATAAAAGTAATGCTTTCAGAAAGGCTTGGTTTCCATTTTCATAAACATCCATACACACTGAACCATGACATGAGCTGAATCTCTCACTGTGGGTCTCTGTTCAAAAGACTTACTGGACCAGGAATGGGGGAAGAGGAGGTCTGAGGACAACAATGACCTCTTCAGCACCTGCTAATAGGTAGGACAATTTGAACAGACTTTCCCATTCAATCCTCACCTCCACTCCAAGATAACTGGGATTCAGTTTCCATTTTACAGAGGAAGAGAGGCTCCGAGAGATGGAAATGCTGGCCCAGGAGCACACATCCACAAGGCAAAAGATCAAGGGATTCAGATGGACAGAAATGAATGCCCAGAAGTTTGCTCAGAACACCTCACTGACTTTGCTCACCTTCCTCTCTGCCCTTGTCTTTTAACTCCATGGTCACAATCTTATCATTTTTTCCTTGAGCAAGTACTCCAGCCTCCCAATGGGTGTCCAATTCCCTACCCTCCCCTCCATAAATTTTTCTATGATGTCCCTTGGCTCTGGCCACCCTCCTGCTCAGCACCTTCCCAGCACCTCAGTGTCCCCAGGTCTCCACCATTGAGCAATGCCCCAAGCCTAGCCCCTGACTCCTGACCCCGTGTATCCTACTATCTCAGGCAGCAGCAACACACTAGAGCAGTTAATGTTGTAACTTTCTGCCCAAAGCCTGGGTCCAAATCTCAGCTCTAAAATATCCAAGCTGTGAGGCCTCAAACAAGTGACATATACTTATAGGTCTCTATCTCAGTTTTCCCATCAGTATCCTTGGAAGCCTGGCAGGCTTTATCTTATAGTATCATTATGAAGACTCAAAAGGTCAATCTCTGACTAGCATTTGGCATGGTGCCTGATGAATACCCAAACTCCATTAGCTACTGGAATTACTCCCATTCTCAAATACATTCTATTGCACGCTGCCTCAGGGTCTTTGCCTTGTTCCTTCTACCCAGAACACCCTTTGACCCATTAACAATCACTGCAGGAGCAGCCCTGTATGCCAGGCCTGTGTGAGGGCCTCAGCAAGGGACAAGCCCTGGTCCTGCCAGCATGTGGTTCTACCTTCAAGGCAAGTAGCCCGCAGATCCGCATCCAGCCCACCCTGGATGATGGCGAACAGGTTCTGCTTGTCCGGTTGCCGATGGGCTGCAATGCACCGGTCCAGCCAGCGGATTGACCTGTAAGAGGGCTCTGGTCACGAGCCCTAGGGGCCTGAAAAAGGGTAGCAAGGCAGGGCTGTAGGACCCAGGGCCCCTCCAAGACACACATGCACACGCACCTGTACATGGCTTCTTCCACACGTGGACCTGTCACAGTGCTGCTGACCACGTCGTCTAGCTGCATAATGATGTCTGAGCCTGAGGTAAGACAGGGCAAGTCACTGGGCCTGATCTACACCTGAAAGAAAGACATGTCCTTACCTCCGAAGACAACAAGAATCCAAAAGGTTTTTCCAAGTTCCCCTCAGCTTATTATAATTAGTTGACACACCATTCGTCCTACCTCATACTGAGGTAGAATAAAAGGAATAAGAAATAGGTAGAGGGCTAGGGATATAACTGTTGGTAGAGTGCTTGTCTCGAATGCATAAGGCCCTGGGTTCAATCCCCCAGCACCAAAAAACAAAAAAAGAAAGAAATAGATAGAAAGGAAACCAGGCATAGTGGTGCACAACTGCAGTCCTAGCAATCCAGGAGGCTAGGGCAACAGGATTACCAAGTTCGAAGCCAGCCTGAGCAACTTGGTGAGACCTTAGCTCAAAATATAAAATAAAAAAGTCTGGGGATGGAGCTCAGTAGGAGAGTATTATTAGGTTCAATCCCCAGTACAAAAATAAAAAGAAGGGAGGCATAAAGAGGGACAAGGAAATAAAATTTTAATTTATGGTGCATGACTTAATACCAGTGACTCGGGAAATTGAGGCAGGAGGATTGAAAGTTTGAGACCAATATATTTCATAATGCACTAATAAAAAAAAATGTGGCAGAGGGGAGAAAGTTAGTTTGAGGTCAATCTCAGCAACTTAGTTAAGCCATATGCAACTCAGTGAGATCCTGTCTCAAAATAAACAATACAAAGGGCTGGGCATGTAGCTCAGAGGTTAAGTGGCCTTGGGTTCAATCCTCAGTACCAAAAAAAAAAAAAAAAACCTGCATACTTTTCTAGGCCTAACACTCCCTAAGACAGCCTCTTTCTCAGGCCTAGTACTCCCAAATTCCTGGGAATTTGTAAATCTGCCTGTGTACTGATAATTAACCTCCCCTCATAAATGAATTAAGTAAAGAGAGAAATGATATTTGAGAATCCTACAATTTAAGAGACTTCTCAGTGCTATGTACATAGCCTGAGGATTCTGAGATTATCCAGACCACAATGAGTCATCTTGAGATCACCAGATTGATATTGTTCCTACAAACCTTCCTATACCCACCCCTCACCCACTTTACTTTAAAAGCTTTCAAGATGGCCCACATTCTATTTTGAATGTGTATTCCTTGCTTTATCCCAATCTCTCTTGAGATTACTGGCATTCTACCTTGAATGTGTACCTACTTTCCTAAATCAACCTCTATGTCTCTGGTGCAGGGTGAAATTCTTTTCCATCAGTTAAGCCAAGAACCCCACTGTCCTAAGTCCAATTATCCTTTCTCTCAGGGGATCCTTGGATCTTCTTTAGAAACACCTCTTCTCCAGTGAAAACACTGCTTCATAACTATCACTTCATCATCAAACCCAGCATAAAATACACATGATTTAGGGTTGGGAGTGTAGCTCTGTGGTACAGCACATGCCTGGCATGCCCAAAGCTCTTAATTCCACCCCCAATACCACAAAAAATACAAAGAGAGAGAAAAAGAAAGATTGACAAATACGAATTGTCCTTATGAAAGAATTGAGGATAGAGCTGGGATTGTGGCTCAGTACCACATATGTAAGGCACTGGGTTCAATCCTCAGCACCACATTAAAAAAGTAAATAAACAAAAGCATGAAAAAAAAAAAAAAAAGAATTGAGGATATTGATGCAATCAAGGGGCCAGAAGCCTTTGGTATCTCCTCTTTTCGCCACCAGGATTTCAAAAGATATTTGTCTAGATAATTGGTTATTGAGTAATAATAGCAATGATGATAATAAAGGTTATTACATATCAGGCACTGTTCTAAGAGATTTACCGACATTACTTCATTTATTTTTGTCAATGAACCTACCAAAAACGCGCTACCATATTTGAGTTGCAATAAGTGAAGCTCAGGGAGGGGGAGTGATTTCCCCCCAAACCACACAATGCCTAAGGGGCATGACCCTCCTGACTTCCATCCCCTACAGACTTAAAGGGGCAGTTCTAGAGTTTCCACTCACCCAGTGCGTTCTGAATTTCCACGGACTTCTCCGGGCTCAAAAGGGTCTCATCGCCATCATAGGGGGAGCGAAAGCGGACGCCCTCCTCCGTCACCTCAGACAGGGACACTAGGGACACCATCTGGAAGCCACCACTGTCCTGGAGGGCACCCCACCCAGAGCTGTCATGGTGTGGAGACGGCGGCCTCCTCACCACAGAGAAGCTAAAACATTTAGTGGGCTCCCAACCCCAACCCCACTCCACTCACTGTCAGCAGATTGTGGGGCCAATTCATGAAGCCGTGGAGACCTTCGGCTTTCTTGATCAGCTCAGGGCCCTGCAGTGAGAGAAGAAACTACCGGGTTACTGGTGAGCACAATTCTAGGGGCCCGTAATGGGGACAGAGCTGCCAGCTTCAATCCCCGCAGCTCTCCCAAGCCCAGTACAAGGCCTGGGCGACCCGAGGTACTCAATACACATTTATCGATTGACTTTTGGAGCCATGCCCAGACCTTGAGGCCTCACCACCACCCCAACGCTCCCCACAGCCCTCCCAGAGCACAGTTCACCAACCGGTCTCAAACCCAGATGATAGGTGTTGCCCAAGCAGATGCGGCAGCCCAGGGCGTCCAGCTGCTCGGCTGTGATACCCTTCATGGTGGCCTGAGTGCCCACTGGCATGAACACTGGAGTGGCCACCGGTCCGTGAGGCAGCCGCAGTTCGCCCGCCCGAGCCCTGGAGCGACTGCATTCGGCCACCAGACGCATGATTCGCGGAGTCGCCTCCAGGGAAACCGGGGTAGCTGCTCCCGCCATCTTGACTACCGGAACCACGTGGGACGTGGAACCTGGTGGGCGGCGCCATATTTGCTACGATCACGTGACGCTCAGAGCTGGAGAAACCCGGAGAGTGTCAGGGAACCATGGCAACCGAAGTCTGAGCGCATCTTAGCAGGATTCCTGAACGCTCCCTTCCGGAGCGCTCTAATGCAAAGAATTAAATTTTTCTAGGTTCAAATTCCATTCGGGAGACTTTTCTCTCTACAATCAAAGCCTCTCAGTGCCGTGATATTGTCCTGCACGAAATGTAGCCAATTTGGCTTAAGGGCCTTGTACAGATTGAGTATCCAGTCGTCTGGTGCACACCTCTAGTCCCAGCAACGCTGAAGGGTGAGGCAGGAAGGTTATGAGTTCGAGCCCAGGATAAACAGTTCAGCGAGACTCTCAGCAATTTGGTGAAACCCTCAGCCACTTAGCAAGACCCTATGTTAAAATAGATAAATACTTACATACATACATAGGATGGAGTTGTTGCTCAGTGATAAAGCACCCCTGAGTTCAATACCAGCCTGCCTCCCCCCCCCAAAAAAAAAAAAGCCAACGTGTGTGTGTGTGTGTGTGTGTGTGTGTAAAATTTTTAAATGCTGGAGATATAGTTCAGTGGTAAAGTGCCCTTCGCTTCAATACGGGGGGGGGGGGAGCGGGGGGGCGGGGGAGGAATACAGACACACACATACATACACATATATAATAAGAAGGACAGTTATACTATAACTCTTTACCCAATACCTGGCTCCGATATTTTTTATCTCTTCACTCCTTTGTCTCAATAACTTAGATCCAGGCCTAGCACACAGTAAGTGCTCAGTAAACATTAGTTCCTTCAATAAAGGAAGAATCCTAGTGTTGTTTTTTTTTTTGGTATTGTTGTTTGTTTTTTTGGCGGAGGAGGGGTTTACTGGGGATTGAACCCAGGGGCTCTTAACCAGTGAGCTACATGCTCCTCCGCTTTTTTATATTTTATTTAGAACAGGGTCTCACTGAGTTGCTTAGGGCCTTGCTAAATTGCTCAGGCCGGATTTTAATTCGCTATTCTCCTACGTCAGCCTCTCGAGCCGCTGGGATTACAGGCGTGCGTCACTGAAGAATCCTAGATTTTAAGACAGGGGAGTCTGCTGAGGCCACTAACCTGTCCACATATGGGTTTGTTCAATTAGTGCATACACGTGTATACATGTACGTACACAAACACACAGGCTTATATGTATATCCCCACTGTGCCTTTCTTCATGCAGCTCAGGAGTGAGGGGGGGACTGAGTCACAGATTTACTGTGTGCTGGTTGTTTTCCATTAATAATAATAACAACATAATATTACAGAATATCTAATAATCCTTACTGTTAGAAATGCAGCTGTGGCCAGTTGTGGCCAGCAGGGGGCGCCATTGATCTAAAACACTTTCACTGATATGGCAAGTATCCTAAACTGGGCTGCTCTGGGCAAGATTGCCTCTGTGGAAGCCTCAGGCCTGTTACATTGTAATAAAGGCTAGTGATGTTAGGTTCTGAAGGCAGTGGAGAGATTTCATTGAGGTCACACCTGAAAAACGCCCATCAAGGTGGTTCAGTTCATGACCTTTGCACTTGCTGTTGGCTTTGACAATTCATCCCCCCTGAATTACCCAAAAATCTATGGGCTTGTATTTGTCACTGTGTTTGCTCTTCCTAGGAAAATTCTAAAACCACTACACAATCTCAAGACCACTCTACCCCAGCCGGGCATAGAGGTGCATGCCTGTAATCCCAATGACTCAGGAGCCTGAGGCAGGAAGATCACAAATTTAAGCCTAGCTGGACAACTTAATGAAGTCCTATATAAAAATAAAATAAAATAAAGCAGGAGTGGCTGAGGATGTGGCTCAGTGGTAGAGTCCTTGCCTAACATGCATAAGGCCCAGGATTCAGTCCCCACAAGCACCACAAAATGGGGAGGACTGAGGAGGTAGCTCATGGTAAAGTGTCCCTGGGTTCAATTTCCCGCACCAAAAAGTAGTAAATAAATAAACACTCCATTCTCCATCACTATATATCACTTATAACTGATATGCCTTGTGAGATTTCTCTACACATTGGCAATGCCCAAATTAATTTATTTATTTTGGCAGTACTGGTGACAGAATCAGGGATGCTCTACTATAAAGGTACATCACTAATCTTTTGTTGTTTTTTTACTTTGTTTTGTTTTTAGTTGTAGATGGGCACAATACATTTGTTTATTTATTTATTTATTTTGATGATGCTGGGGATTGGACCCAGGACCTTGTGTATGCGAAGCAAGCACTCTACTAACTGAGCTACATCCTCAGCCCTTGTTTTATTTTTATTTTTTGGAGGTACTGGGGATTGAACTCAAGGGCACTCAACCACTGAGCTACAACCCCAGACCCTTTTTTTTTCTCTCACACACACAGACCTATACATAAATATGTGTGAGTACATAGCCATTCTCCATGGTGCTCCAACGTGAGGGATGTTGAGTCATGGACATAGTGTGTGATGGCTGTGCTCCATTAATAATAATGTTATTATTAATATACAATATCGCATAATATATAATAAACATTATTGTTTGACCTGTAGGGTTTTGCTAAGTGGACCAGGCTGGGCAATCCTCCTACCTGAGCCTCTGGAGTTGCTGGGATTGTATGTATGTGCTTCCACAATCAGCTCTCAATTCATGTTTTCCTTCTAGTACCATGAAACTTTTGCACTCTGTGATTTTTTTTACTTTGTTAATTTTTGTATTTTTGTTCATGCTCTATTAATTTAAGTGGTATATAACAAATTATATTAGCCCATAGCTTTACCATGATCCCAAACAACATAAGTCTCCTAAACAATTTAACTCAAAACTCAGACTTGTTCATCCTGTGTTGATATTTTTTGGGGGGTGGTGGTACTGGTGACTGAACTCAGGGGCACTTGACCACTGAGCCATATCCCCAGACCTATTTTTTTTTGAGAGAGAGAGATAATTTTTTTAATATTTATTTTTTTCAGTTTTCGGCAGGCACAACATCTTTGTTTGTATGTGGTGCTGAGGATCGAACCCAGGCTGCACGCATGCCAGGCAAGCACGCTACCGCTTGAGCCACATCCCCCCCAGACCTATTTTTTATTTTATTTAGAGACAGGGTCTCACTGAGTTGCTTAGCATCTCACCATGGCTGAGACTGGCATTGAACTCTCAATCCTCCTGCCTCAGCCACTGGAGCCACTGGGATTACTGGCATGTGCCACTGAGCCCAGCCTGATTAACTTTTTTTAAAAAAAATTTATTAGTTATTGATGGACCTTTATTTATTTGTTTATATGTGGTGCTGAGAACCAAACCCAGTGCCCCACACATGCCAAGGCAAGCACTCTACCACTGAGCCACAACCCCAGCCCTCTGATTAACTTTTTTTTCTTTTGCAGTGCTGGGGATTGGACCCAGAGCCTAGTGCATGCTAAACACACATCACTGAGCAGAAAACCCAGCCCCTAAATGGTTGTTGTTTAATAATTTCACTAGTTTTTTGGAGCTTGAGTCCCTGAAGCACCTTGTACTATCATACAAAAATTAATCCTTTTAGGGCTGGGGTTGTGGCTTAGGGGTAGAGTGCTCACCCAATGTGTGCGAGGCCCTAGGTTCCATCCTCAGCACCACATAAAAGTAAATAAATAAAACAAAGATATTGTGTCCAACTATAACAAAAAACTAAATATTAAAATAATAATAATAATGGAAAGATAAGGAGGAAATAACATTAGAGTTGGACCTAATCCAATATGAAATATCCATAAATTCGGAAACAGACGTATAAACTACATTCCTAAATCTCAACCTCTGTTTGGACGGGGTCTCACTAGTAATCTCCTGAGGCAGGAGGACCAACCGTGAGCTCAAATCCAGCCTCAGCAACTCTGAGGACTAGGCAACTCAGTGAGAACCCGTCTCTAAATAAAATACAAAATAGGGCTGGGGATGTTGCTCAGTGATCAAATGCCCCTGAGTACACGCTCCTCCCCCAAAAAAGGACTCAACCTCCTAAGTAGGTGGAATTATAGACTTATGCCACTGCACCCTGCTTAAGAGGTCTATTTTAAGTCAAGTGGCCAGAGCCTGGTTAATTGAGTAGTTATGGATTTGAATTAATGCCTGAAAGTAAGGGGCAGGAGTCATTCCAAGGCCTAAGAAAGCTTTGCAGGCAGCGGAGGCAGAGTCAATCCCAGAGACAGGAACGTGCCAATATTGTTTGAAGTGCGGGGAGGAGGTCAGTGTGGCTGGAAAGACTGAGAGGAGAAGGCAGAGAAGTGACCACTGGTGGTTATGAAGGGCCTCAGGATCTGCAGCAAGGACTTGAGTTTACGGGAGGGTGGAGCATTGTTAGTGGATAAAGGAGGGTAATGAGCTTTATCACCAAGAGGTAAAGCAAAGGGTACGAAGGAAGGGCAACTGGAGGCTCGGTGACATCCTGCCTTAAGGTATTGGCGCTGCTCAGCTTGGAGTGCTTGGGGGCACCCTGAGTACTCCCTTGAGGCGCTAAGATCGCACCTTCAGCACAATGGACAGCGCCGTGCCCTTGGCCTGGAGACCCGGAAAGCAGTCTTCCTGGGGGCGGAGCCTATGAAACCGTCCTACAGGAACCAGCGAGCTCCCAGAACAGGGCACACCTATGGAGCAGGTTCTGAAAGTGTCCTATTAGGAATCGCGTACTCTATTGCACAGAGCACTCTTTGTGGCCGATTGGACCTGGCGCTCTACGTGGCGAGACCCGTGGAAGTGTCGTATTAGAAAAGGGTTTAACCACTATGCCCACGTACCGGGTGCGGAGTTTTCAACTTACATTAAAATAATTTGGTGGGTGTTCTGTGAGAAAGCTGGCTGAATTCATTGAGCTGACTACCCTGGGGTGGTTGTGTGCGATATTCGGGGCACAGCTTGTTGATTGGGTAAGGAAGGGGCAGTAAGTGTGGGGAGACTTTGGGACACATCAGAAGTTCAGAGGGGTGGTGTTCTCAGAAGCTGGACCTGAAGAGGGTTTTGCGCACTTGGCCAAGAAGCCTGTGCATAACCACTAGGTGCGGTGAGAAGATATTTGGGACTCTTAGCCCAACTCTGCCCATTTGGGGATGCTGCGGCTGTGGATAGAAAGCTCCCAATCTGGGGACTAGGTGATTGGCAAGGGAGCATTGGTGCTGAGATCTGGAGCTGAGATAGGCAAGAGCTGTATTTCTGTGCAGAGGGGAGAATGGGAGATTTCTGGTAGAGAACTGGTTGTTTGAACACACCTAACTTTGAAATAGGGGTCCTTGAAACCCTGGACTTGGCCTGGGGGGTGACTGGGGAACATGGAGGGTACACATTTACTCTGGCTTATCTGGACGGGATTAGAGGTATAAGTCTACAAAGTCCAGGTGTCACACAGGTTCAACTCTTGGAAGACACTGGGAAGAGCTTTGGGGTTCAGAGCATGGTGGCCACTGCTGACAATCCTCCTTGTCTCTCATGGCAGAGAGAAGTACCCTGACATCTGGGCACCTCTGGGACGTGCAGTTTTTATTAAACCTTTGCATCTCAAAACAATTCCCTCACCAAGTGCAGGGAACCTTTTGGTTTAGTCCTCAGCACTGACACCTGCTCCCCTCCCTGCCCCCTCCCCCAAAGCAAAACAAACCTCAGTTCAAGTATTCTAGAACCCAAACTTCTGCTGGCCTTGCGACTTCCTTCCTCACTTCACCTACTGAACAACAGAATGATAAGAGGTTTTCTGGGCTAGGGTTATGACTCAGAGGTAGAGTGCTCACCTCCATATGAAAGGGTCTGGGTTCAATCCTCCACCACATCAAAGTAAAATGAAGGTATTGTGTCCATCTACAACTAAAAAATATATAGTTTTTCTTCTCAGTACTGGGGATTGATCTTCTACCACTGAGCTACAGGTCTACCCTTTTATGAAGACAGTCTGACAACGTTGCCCAGGATAACCTTGAACTTGTCATTCTCGCATCTCGTAAGTAGCTGATTACAGGTATATGTGTGCCACCAAACCCAGCCCAAAGGATTATTCTGAAGCAAAACTGGACTAGCTTTTTCCAGGTTCAGAATCCTTGTGTGCTTCAGGGATTTTATAAGGGTTGGTTGGAACCCTCTGCTTATGCACTCCAAACTCCACTAACCTCCCGCCACACTTCTCACCTCCCCTTCCTCTTGCATTCAAAAATCCTTCACCTACTGAACTGCAGCTCCTTCAAGTTTATTCCCACCCGCCAACTTAATTTTTGTGCATGCTGCTCTTCACCAGAGGGAAGACTGGAAGCCTTCCTAGACATTTCCTGACCAGCAGGGATAGGGCCTTCTTGGGGCCTCCAAGCTCCATTAGGCAAGGACCAGGCTCACCATTTTATTCCTAGCTCCCAGCACAGGACATAACATATAAGTGCCACCCAATAGACACATGATAAGTGAATGAAGCAACAAACACATGAAGTCTCTCTTTATTCTGGGATGGATTAGTGAGAATCTGAGCCTCCGATAAGGTTGTTGCCCAAAATTTTTTCCAGAAGTCTCAGGCATGTAAAGTGCACGGCCAGTGTGGAGCTAACACCAAGACTGAAATGCAGACAAACACCCCAGCTGCAGTGACCAGGTACACACAAAGCTTCAGGGTAAGATGAGCCTTATGAATTGCACAAGAATGGTCAACATTCAAGAAGTATACCTTCCTGCCAGAGTAGAGGGAGATCAGGCAGCCAAGTGGTAGCCCCCAAATAGAAAAAAAAAAACAGTCCTGGTGGCACTGCTTAACCAGGGAAGTGGAAATGCTGGGTCCTTCATTGAGGCTGATATCCCCCTTCATTTCTAATCATCAATTCCCAATACTTTTCCAGAACCCAAGGACCAGTCCAAATTCCCTAAGGCCCTGCCATTCCCCAAAATGTCATTTCAGTCGGCCACTCCTGTCTTCATATGATCCTTTTCCTTTCCCCCAGCAGCATCTAGAGCAGAGCCGACTGGGGTAGTGTGCACTGGGTGCCCCATCCCTGACACCAGCTCACACCAAGTACCCCATCCTGATCAAATCCACGAAGAGCAGTAGGAAACCTACTTGATCTCTTGGTGACCTCTGCTGGTGATTCAAAATGTTGTACATCAATCACCCGAACCATGTTGCACAAGAAGTCTCTCCATCTTACGCTAATTCTTGCCTATATTATGCTGGACCCAAGAAGAACTTCCCCAGATCAGCTTCCTGGAATTGCAGGATCACCAGCTGGATGGCTCACTCAGCTCCAGATAGGACACACCAGCCCCAGGACTTCTGTGTGCTCAACTTAACAGCTTTGTCTTCCTGAAGCCAGTTTCTAGTTTGACAGATCCTGAGGGCTGGGATACTGCCACTGGTCAAATGTGTCACCCTCATCATCAGTGAGTTCCTCCCAATGGAATCAGGATTCCAAGGGCACTGTGCTCTCCGATTGTCTTTGGGATAGGTTTGCTGCAATTTCTGGGGTGTGGGTGGGTATGATTCCTTCCCTCCATAGGTCTGTATTCAGAAACTTCAACATGGTGGTTGTTGCTGACTGAGAATCAACTGGAAAGAAAACCCTTGTGTTGAGGATATAGGTGCTTGACTGGTTTAGTGGGGCCTGGCAGGTAAGGCCGGGATAAGTCCCTCCCCGTGGGTTTCTGAGCAATGCAGACAACCTCCACTCCCATGTTCTCTGCTCAAAGCGCCGTTGAGTGTCTTCTTGTCCCAGCCCCTGGATGGGACTGGGAGAGGCAGATCATGGACACAGCATTGTGTCTCTCCACTACTGTGTGCGTTGGTGGGATCCTGGGACATTTAAGGGTAACTTGAAAGCTCCAATTGTGGGTCACCTCTTGGCTTCACTTTGTGTAGTCACCTCCTCCTTCCTGCCTCTTCCTGGGCTGGATTCACACTGTATATGGGGCATCCTCTACACTAGCATAAAGCAGAATTGTACCAATATTTTCTCGTTTGATACAGGATACCTTTCTTTCCAGAAAGCCAACCTTCACCCCTTCAAAGTATAGTTGATTTGCTGTGTCAGCTGAGGGATTCCCAGTGGCCAGTTACTCACACACGGGAGGCCAAGGGGCACACCTGAAGCTCAGCCAGCCAATAGCACCAGGTCTCAGAAGCTGGAGAGGCGGCTCCCAGATAACGAGGAAGCTGGAAGGCCGAGGAACACTGTTGACAGGTGCATAATAGGCTCTTCCCAAACACACTGAATTGGAGCCTGGGTAAATTCAACTGGAGTGCAGCCCTATAGCCCCCACCACCCCACTCCCATGGGCAGGGCAACCTTAGGATGGGTTTCTCCACTTCCAGTGCTGACACTTTTGAAATACAGTTCTTTGCAGTGGGGCACTCACTATTCCATATGGTACAGGCTGTTCACAAGCATCCTTGGCATCTACCCACAAGATGCCAGGAGCATTCTTTCCAGGTATGATAAGTGTCCCTCAAACGTTGCACAATCTCCCTTGAGAGTGACAATAACCGCTCCAGGGAAGTCTGCTAGAGTAAATCTGGACAATTAAAAAGAGCAAACTCTCCATGTGAATCTCCCTGTGGCAGAGCACCTTGGGGCAAGGCCACAGCAGACACCAGATTTTCCCAGGGCACAGCTCACCTGCAGCTGGGTTGGTTTACATTAGATAAGTCACAGCTGCCCTTTTTCAAGTGGGGTACATGTACATGTGAACTCTACAGGGACATTTTATCCCATAATGATGTAAAATTGCACTTATAACCACCGGAATTTATGGAGTAGCAAAGAATATGCTTCCATTTTTTGATCCAACCTTGAGGGTCACTGCACACCACCAGGATTTAGAACTGTGGAGCCCACTGGGTTGACAAGATCTCAGGTACACAGGTTGGTGGCCCCTGCCAAGCACTGAGTAATGTCTGGAGGCCTGGAGTTGGACCCTCTATGCTGACCAGGCACTGTCCTGCCATCCCCAGCCTGCTTCCCAATAGCGGGAACAGAGTGGAGGAACCTGCCCATTGCCCTGCTGGAGGGTCAGACACCCAGGCCTGAGACAGGCACAGTTTTCTTTTTCTTTATTGTCTACAGTCAGCTGAATTCAGATGTAGTGCCTGAATGAGCCAGACATACAAAAACCCCACTCTTTCCCATTGTTTTTTTAAAATAAAATCTTCACTTATAAAACTGAAACACTAAAGCATTAAAATACAGAAAGCTCATTTAACTCACTTCACAAAAGCATTAACAGATGACGTATCCCTTCTGTAACTATTTAAAGACAAACTGAGTCAACACTAACACCAAGTGTAAATAGACAGAGGGATACTGAACGGCAAGAACGCAAAACTCTACCCAGACAAGGTTGTAATGGCAACTAACAAACCATTGAAGACACGGAGTCCCAAACACGGCTAAATATGGGTCACAGCACAGGTCCCAGGAGGAACCGCTGCACCTCACAACACAGCAACGTGGACGGGTGGGGGCGCCTGGAGGACCGGCTGACATGGTAACTGTGATACGTAAAACTGAATCTTCCAACGGCGTAAATGCAGAAGGTACAAACGGGCAGCCCCAGGGCCTTTATCTGTACTGGTAGTTCATGCTGTGGTCTGCGTTTCTGCCATAGCCACCCTGTGAGGACTGGTAGGAGCCGGGAGGGCCGCTGTAGTTCTGGCCAGACCCTGGGGAATTGTAGTTCGACTGTGATGAGTAGCCTCCTACAAGAGAGAGGGTAGATTAGAGGTGGTGACAAGGATCTGCCTGCCCACCAGGCCTAAGGACTTCAGCTGCACCTGAGTTGTGTCCCCAGGTGGCAAGCCCCACAGGCTCCTCGTTTATTCTAAGTGCCTTTCACTTCTAATTGGGACCCAGCACACTGAGAGGTGGGACCACTGTGATCCTGGCTTATACCAAGGGTGATAGCAAATGGTGATTTTCTTGGTTAAAGAACAGGGGGGCTGCCTGAGCTCACCACCCCAAACCAAAGGTAGCATCCAAGATCATGAGTCAGTTTGGGTCTCAATGTTGTCAATATCTCTTCAAACAGGTACCAATACTGAAGAGTAAGGCAATTTCTGGTCTCCAGCTTCAGAAAAGGCCAAGCAGCTGGTATGGCCAGAGCCCAACTTTTATAGGGCCCCAAACGCCCCACAAGAAAGCAACAGCACAGCTGCCACCATTGTCCTGCCCATGCAGTGCTGTTCCTGCCAGGCTCAGGGCCACCCTGCTGTGCCACCTGCTGCCCCAAGCCCACCTTGTTTGCCTTGATATGAGCCGCCGCCCCCAGAGCCTCCACCGTAGCCCCCGTGTGACCCTGGGTTGTAGGACGACCCGCCTGAGCCATAGCTGTTCCCGCCGCTTCGGCCTCCGCTACCACTGTAGTCTAGGGGAGAGAAGACAGTGTCATTAGGGGATCTGAGGGCCTGAGGACTACGTGGCTGGCATGGTCCAGGACTCTAGCAAGGCTCCCCTAGACAGAGCCTTGCCCCTGCCTTTGGCAGATGTGTGTCTGCTTAAATTTGGCAAGAGGTAACAAGGTCAGGCTAGGGTTGTGGCTCAGTGGTAAAGCGCTTGCCTCGCATGTGTGAGGCACTGGATTGGATTCTCAGCACCGCATATAAATAAACAAATAAAAAGAAAGCTCTGAAACCTGTTCTCTCCAGCCTTCCCACCTGTCCCTGCAACCCAAGCTTTCCAGATGTAAATTCAGTGACATGATGCTCCCTCCAGCCTACATGTACACAGCACAGCTCCCTCCAAGTCTCCAGTCTTGCTAGTGACCACTATTCTATATCAAGGAAAAGTGCACACCTACTCTGCCAATTGGGTCAACAATACAGCCAGTGCCTGCTGGGTCTGTGCAGGAGATAAAAGGATATTAATAACACTTTAAGAACTATCCCGGGAGACTGCCTCTCAGCCTCTACCTTCGTGCCTAGCCACCCTGAGGAGACAGGCCTCAGCTATACCTGCCCATGGGGCAAAGCAGAGGAAAGAGCAGAGACCTGGGCCATGAGATCCTTCCTAACACCTGCCTGCAGCCAACACCACCTGTTTTCCTCCTAGTTCCTTGGGCAGAGGTCTGGGCATTGCTGGGCTTCTGCAACTCCACAGGACTCATTGCCAGGTTGACCCAGGGATGCTGGAAGCCAACTCACTGAATTTGCTCTCGTAGTTGTAGTCTGACCCACCCCCGCCTCCGGGAGAGTTGTAGGAGTTGGAGTAGGAGGAGTAGTTGCCTTGTCCATGGTTATAGCCTTTCTGTTTGCCCTGAGGGGGCCCGTAGTTGCTGTACTGGCTCTGGTTGTAGGACTGCTGCTGGCCTTGGTGGGACTGGTAGCCCGAGCTGTAGGAGGGCTTCTGCTGGCCCCCATGTGGCGGTTTCTTCCCAGCATGTTTTGGGGGTACTGGTGAGTTGTAGTTGTCCCCTTGGTAATAGGAGCCGTAGCCGGAGGAGCCACCACCGCCCCCGCCGCCGCCACCACCAGCATTCCCAGAATGCCCTCCGTTGCTGTAGAACTGACCTAAACAGGGAGGCAGCGGGTCAGGTGGAGGAAAAGGAAAGGCAAGGGGGCAGGAAGGGAAAGGGAGGTGGCAGCCGTGGGCCCTGAAGGCTGACCCATAAACTGGCTGCCCAGAGGCAGCAAGGAGGAAGGAGAGCCCTGGCTCTGCTGTAAGGAGCCTGGCTCGGCTAGCCCAGCCTTCAGCTCCACTCACCCATCAGCTGACGACAACAAAGGATCTTTGCCAAGCAGCGGCAGGACAGCAGCTTTTGCAGCAGATGTCAACATTACAATGAGATGGGCTCCCAGCGCAGATGACATTCAGGACTAGCTGACGGGTACCCAGATGTCCCCCAAAGGTGACAAGAAAAGCAAAGCCCCAGAGAAGCAGCAAGCCACCCCTACTACCTCCTCCCCTCTGTGCTGGAAACAAATTCAGCAGGCAGAGACTGGAGACCCCAGGAGTACCCTGTAATAAGGCCCCTAAAACCACCCTCGCTCTTGGAAGACCAACTAGTATGAAGCTGGATCTTAGAAAAACAAATTGAGACTCAAATGATGTGGGCCTCTCCCTGGTTACTACTTACAGAAAAACATGACTACAAGCAATATAGATTTCCGACCTATTGGGAAGACCAGCTCAGGCTAAGGCTGGGAACAGGATGTCAGGCAGAGCCTTAAGCCTTAAAGCCTCAGTGGCCGCCCCAAGGCCCCTTCCTCATTCCCAGTACAGCTACTGGGGCACAGGCAGGACAGAGTAGCAGCACTGACAAACTTGCACTGTGGCTGCCACATGCTCAGTCCTGAGGCAGGATGTTACAGTGAGGACCTGCCTTCTGGTAACTAGGCTTTCAACACACTGCTGTAGCTAAAATTGGGGTGGAATAGGGGATAGGCTAAGGAACACTTCATCCTCAGTTTTACAAGGGACTCTAATTAATCAAGGGGTTCAGGTTTGGCTGTGGGAAGTCCCAGAATGAACTGGATGTGAGGCCTGGGAGGCCAGGCTGTGTGGGCAGCTCTCCAGCCCAGTTAGACGTTCACCAGCACTTCAACAGGGGCTGCGATGTTCCTGGGTCCCTGCAGAAGGGAGGACTAAACATGAAGGCACCTCTGCCCACAGACATCAAAGGCAGCTTCCCTGTTAGGTCCCAGGATGGATGGGAATGGGAGAGGAGGCTCCCACACAGCCTGTCCTTTCTTCCCGTATCAAGCATGAGGGTTCCATGCCTTCTGGATGGGGACACTGGAGTTCTCACATGCCTTCCATCCTCTGCAGATGTGTAGCCCATGTTGATGTGCCATGGGCTACTGGCACAAGCATATGGAAATAGAACTGGTCTCCAAACTTGAGTTTGTTTCTTCAGGAAGGCCTCTTTCCCCTCCCACCATTCACAAAGCCAACACTGAGGGGGAGGATGTATACCACAAAGCAAGAAAGCAAACATGTGGAGGCTCAGTGAGGAGACTTGGAGGATAAGAGCTTCAGTATACTCCCCAAGAGCACTGCCCCCACCACCCCAAATCCCAGTTTCCCCAGTGTCCTGCACTGAGCACCCCACCTTGCCCCGCCTAAAGCCGGGAATGAATGAAGACGCAAGTATCGAGGACTCGTTACTTTAACATGTATTGATTAAAAAAAATAATAATAAAGGGAAGGGGAAGTTTTCAACGTCATTCAAGATAACTATTTCCTGGTATAAAAAGACATTATTCTCAAACAATAACTTTCTAAAAAAAAATAATAATACATCATGCAATCAAAGTTTTTAAAAAGTTTCACTGAATGTTTCAAACCTTGGGGAACAAATCACATATTAACCGTTTTGACCATTTTTGCCTGAATAAACGCAAAATCTTGCAAGTCAGCACAGAGGCAGGCTTTCCTGCAAAAAGAACTGCTGAGCACAGCCAAAACCCCAGTTTTCAAGGATGGCTCCCACCAGAAGAGCCAAAGACCACTGGGGTCCCAGCAAAGAGCCATAAGACCATGTGCCTTTGCACACACAGAAAAATATCCAGGCCTCGGGAGTGTGCAGCTGTGTAATCAGCAGAAATCTGGGAATGTACTAGGCTTTTTTTTTTCTTTCCCTTTTTTTGCAGTGTTGGGAGACTGAACCCAGGGCCTCACATTGTGAGCAAGCGCTCTACCACTGAATCCCAGGCCATGTATTTTTATTTTAATGGTATTGGGAAATGAACCCAGGGGCAATTTACCACTGAGCTACATCCCCAACCTTTTTATTATTATTATATTTTTTCTAAGACAGGGTCTTGGTAAGTTGCCCAAGGCTGGCCTCAATCTTGTGATCCTCCAGAGTAGCTGAGACTATAAATGTGTGCCACCATGCTCAGCTCTACTAGACGATTTTTCAAGCCCCATCAAAAAAAAAAAAAAAAAATCCAGAATCCCATACATTTGCAACTGTGACCAAGACTTGCAAAATTTCATGTTTTCTACCCCTTAAAGCCTGTCTGTTTCTTGCACAGGAAATGGAAGCACAGTTTTGATACCTTTGAGAGTTCACTCTCTAGCTAAACCAGCCACAAAATACCGCACCCCAAACAAGAACCCACCAGAGCATTTACAAAGGCGGGAGGAGGTAACTTAGCACAGTGTACAATTCCCCATGTTCCCAACATTTTACATGCTTGTTTAAAAAAAAAAAAGAAAAAAAACTCAGTTGCTCTGGATTCAGATGTGGTGAAATCATTTTCATCACTGTCAAAGGCATCAACCAGATGTGGGAATTTGTTAAAAGGTTAAAAATTCATACAAAACCTGCTGTAAATTAAGACAAAGGTAGATTAAAATGCATCATTATCTGTCTCTTTAAATAAAGTAATGCTTTCCATAAAAAGCAAAGGTGGGCTTTTGCCTTGATGCTGAACAACGCTGGCTCTAGAATTCTGTGCAAGTCTGCACAAAAATACATTCTCTGAGAAAATTGTTTTCCACTTATTGTGAACTTCAATATGACCAAGTTCAAAGGCAAATCACGATAAAAACTGCCATTGTCTTAAATTCTGCAGGCTAAGAGTTTCAGACAAGCTGCGGTGGAAAGCCACGGTTGAGAAACCCAGTGAAGCACAGGGACACAGCACGGACACTTTGGGTTTTGGAGTTGGAGGAAATTGGAGTAAAAAGTTGATTTTGTGTGCAATACTTTTAGACGCTCTAGGAAGACCCAAAATCATGATAGCCGTAGCAGTCTGTGAAAAAGTCACCTACAAAAGGGGGAGACAGAGCAGAGAGAAGAAATTAGAATTCTTTTGAAAAATGGCACAGAGCGCCACATTTGAAATTCATGTTTTAGATTTCTCTGCTCCTGTGACCCCCAATGAAGGCTCCTTCTCAAGACAAGAGCGGTGCACTGGCAGGAAAGGTGCGTTTGCAAGATGGGTGCTTCGCATGGCTTAAAGCAGAGAAATTTAAAATTCTGACTTCTAAGGAGCTTGGAAGTCACACAAGTTGGTGTGTTAGCACTTAAGAGTCAAGGACACACTTGTGGGGTCGGGGAAGACCTGAGGGCTGTCTGACCTAATACCCGCAAAAAGGTGCGGGTCGATCTTTAGCCTCACGAAGGCTGTGGCTAGGCCGCCCTACACTAACTCAGGCCCACGACTAAGCTGCCGCTTCCTCCCAAGTGGACACAGAGAGAAGCACACTTACTGTAGCCTGCTGTCGCCGAGTTGCCTCCGTACCCATAGCTTCCGTACCCAGCACCTGGAAGAGAACAGACAGGGTTATATGCGTCTGACCTGCCCTTGCCCCCTTGAGTTCCACATTTCAGCCCCACCCAAGTCCCTGCATCCCAAAAGAAACATGGACACACCCAGAAAATATAAACTGGGTAGATGGGGACAGCACAGGACAAGGGCCCTCACCAGCATTCATGTAGCCTCCATGATTGGCGCCACCAAATCCTCTCCCTCGCCCTCGTCCACGAATGTTGCCTCCTCTTCCCCGTCCTCGGAGGTTTGGAGGTGGAGGCACTTCATTGTGCATGGGGCCTCCCATGCCAAAGCCAGGGTTGTGTGGCTGGAAGAGAAAGCAGACAAGTGAGAGTCGTCTCCCCTCACCATACGAGAGAATTTTTGCTGAAGCTGAAGACTCAAGGACATGTGCTTACCTTGGCAGCAAATTTAGGTCCCCCTCTGACAGGGACTGGGGCTCTCTTTTTTTTGTTGGCTTCGAGGGCAAGGGGAGCATCAGGGAAAAGCTTTTCCAGTGCAGCAAGGGCAGCATACGCCTTTGCCACCTTTTTGTTTGAACCAGCACCTTGAAACTTCTGTCCATCCACCTCGACCTGAAGACAAAGGATGCATGGGTGTGGAGGTGACACAGTGCCTTCCTCTGGGGAAGGAGTCCCACCTTTGTAGAGAGCAGTCCCCCAATCCAGGAAGCACAGGACTGGCCCTTGGTCACTCACCTCCATGACAAATCGCTTGTCGTGGCTGCCCCCAGTCTCAGAGATGAGCTCATACTTGAGGCCGCGCCTCTTCTCATTAAGCTCCATAACTGGGTTCTTGCCATGCTTAGTTAGGATCGGCCCCTGCTGTTTTACGTTCTCAGGGAAAACACAAAAGAAAACCAATAAACTCAGCTACAGGCTATCCAACCACATGGTGGGATACAACCCAATCGGGGTTGAGGTCCTCTGCTCCACATCCCCTGCCATCCCCATCTGAGTATATGCCAACTCACAAATGCCTACGCCAAATAACGCAACCAACCCCACCAGACCCCACTCTGGTGAGCCAAACCATCCCCTGTATGTTGTGGCTACAGTTTTAGGCGTGGGGGGAATCTTTTTTTATATAAAGAAACAACCAATGGCTGCCCGCTCTGCCCTGGCAGTCACTCCCAGCACCCACCACACGCTCACCTCGGCAGTTGCATCTGAGGGAAAGGCAGCACTGGGCGCTGAAACAGCTTCCACTATGGGAGGCGGGGCCGCCACTGCTGGCTTCGCATCTGTCTCCTCAGCAGAATCCTCCCCCTTGCTGGAGTCCCTGCCTTCAGCGCCAGTTGGCAGGCCCATGTCCTGTAACACCTGCAAGGAGGCCAGACCCAGAGTCCTAATATGGAAAGGACCAGTGTGGAACCTTCCCTGCAGGTCCTTGCAGCACCCTACAGCTGCCTGGGGCATCCTGGATCAGAAGCTGAGGGTACAGCCCGGCAACTTGCAGTTACTTTTGAGGAACCTCTAAAAGCATTCTTGTCACGTGGTACTTGGCAAATGTCTGAAAATCAAACCTTGGTGTATCCATGCCTTCCCCAGGATGCATGCTATATCTATGGGGACTGAGGTCTCTAAAGGAGCCCAGGAGAAAACTGGTTTTGCCATTCAGACGACATCAGCCACATTTACCTTAACAGCCACGTGCAGCTTGGCAGTCTTTTTGGATGGCCCAGAAGCCTCAAATGAACTTCCATCCACCTCCACAGACATAGTGAAGATAGGGGCATGGACAGGGCCCGTCTGGGAAACCAGCTTGTACTGCAGCCCTGGCTTCAGCTGGTTCAGCCGCATCAGAGCATTCATAGCTTGGGGAGGCTCAGCCTTCTCCTCTGAGGAGAGAACACCAAGATAGTTTGGAATGAGACACCAAAATGCCTCTGTCAGAGAAAGCCCAGGTGAGGACGCTGAAGTCTCAGTGAGTGCTGCACTGCCAGACAGTTTGGCCTGTGCTTCTCCCACAGCCACCCGCAGATGCACATCCACCCCCATGTGTTCCAGTCATCTGTGAGAGTGTTAGGGATCAAAACTGAAGCCTCGAACATGGTCAGGCAAGGGCTCTCCACTGAGCTATAACCCCAGTCTAATTTTTTAAAGGACTTAAAAATCACATTCAAGAAAAATGAAGGTCAGCGCAGTGGTGCACACTCATAATCCCAGCTGCTGAGGAAGCTGAGGCAGGAGGATTGAGAGTTCAAAGTCAGCCTCAGCAACTTAACGAGGTCCTTAGCAACTTAGTGAGACCCTGTCTCAATAAAATATGAATAAGATCTGGGGATGCGGCTTAGTGGTTGAGAGCCCCTGGGTTCAATCCCCCATACCAAAACAAAACAAAATAAAAAATTTAAAAAAAGAAAAAAAAAATCAAGTTGCTGGGTGTGGTGGTGTACAACTGTAATTCTAGCAAGCTGGAAGGCTAAGGCAGAAGGATAGCAAGTTTGAAGCAAGCCTCAGCAATTTATATGGCCCTCACCAACCCAGGAGACCTTGTCTCAAAAAAAAAAAAGGAAAGCAAAATTCAGTGCTGGGGCCAACCAAATTGAAGGAGGACTAAAACAACAACACCAACAAGACATATGCCTGTACCTTTCTTTTGAATCTTCTTCTTCTTCTTGCTGGGAGATTTTTCCTCACCATCCTCTTCCATTGGGCGTTTCATGGGTGTAATGGCATAAGTAGTGCTGGGGGGGATTTGAACTGAAACAGGAAAATAGGGTGGAAGGGCTATAGGTGGCCTCTCTGAAGAGCCTAGTTACCCAATGCCTGTGTATGCTTACCGGTGTAATCCACTGGATTCTCATTCTTTGGTTTCTTGGGCATCTTGGAAGGCAAGGGGTCCATTCCGAGTACTTTATGAAGCTGGCCAAACGCAGCAAGTCGTAGTGCATGCTGGAGAAGGGGAAGAAGAGTCTGACCTGGCTGCCCTGTGCTCACAGCTATAGCATATGTTGCTCACTAATGTCTTCTGAGATGGAGCAGGAGCTAGGTAACTACTAATGATGTCCCCTACATAAAGGAGGGGTCCCCCAACAGCCAGGGCAGGGCCTGACCGACTGCTTCAGCCCAGCCTTGCTGTGGGGGAAGGCCAGCCAGTGACCACCCCCCTTAAAGAAGAATACAGGAGACCCCAACCTGGGCACTGGTTGCCACACGGAGCCAGGTGGTGGGCCTGCACAGGGGAAGGACCCCTGGAGCAATCTGTATAGCAAACATGTCTCCCCGCTGCACTCTATATGCCAACAGGGCACTCAGGCAGACTGAGGGGCAGACAACAACCACGCATGGCGCCAAGGGGAAAGAAGAATCCCAGATTGGGGCGCCCTGTATCAAAATTCATGCCTTGCCTTCAGTTCACAACCTGAACCTATGATCCAGGGGCTGCCCTGTGAATACTCAGTAATGAAACTGGGAGCCAGTGAGTGCAAACTGGGTACGGGCTCACGTTGGCAATGGCGACAACTATACCTGCGCACTCTGTGTGATATCTTCCCGTTGCTGTCTGTCTAGATGCCCAATAGCATCAGTGGCTTCTTTTTCACAAGGGTCATAAATGCCAGAACCATCTGAAGGCAGGAAACAAGGAAGATATGCAGAGGATTATCTTTTAGCATCTCAGAAGAGTTGTGCTGGCTGAGGGGACCAGGTGCGTTACTCCCCCGCGCCCCATCCACACCCAGCTCTGGAAAACACGCCGAGCTCGGTGACCCACTCGGCATCCAGCCCTTGACAAAAATAATCCACATATGTCTCAGAGCAAGAAAGTCATGTGGGAGTGGGTCACCACTGCCCCCGGATCCGCCCTTTGAATCACAGCTGCGGACCCGGCACAGGGCTGGATATGATGGTGCAAGAGGGTAATCACATGCTTCGGCCCTAGCGGGGTACACGGAGCTGCTGCTGCTGCTGCTGCTGCTGCTGCTGCTGCCCTAACCCAGTCAGTGGACCAGCGAGGAGGTGGCCAAAGGCCCTTGATCCCTGTCCTTTCCCTGCAACTTGCAAACCACAAGGCCCCAACCTGGCATCACGATGCCGGACGCCAAGCACTCCAGCACTCTCCTCAGGGCCTCGCCGGCACCCATGGGCCGATTGGCTGTTCCAATGGACTTCTCACACAGGAGCTCCAGGGGCTGAAAGGAAAGAGTGAAAGTGAGTAACAGGTTTTGGGATGGGCCTGGCTAAGTCCAAAGCAAGGCAATATCACTGGGTGAGTGGGACAGGGGTGGGGAGTATTAGCATCACAGCCATCCAGTTATGTCAAAGCCAAAGGTGAGACCTGGGGCAGGATTCAGTACACTATTTTCGTTCTTTTTTTTTCCCCCACAGAGACATACTCAAGGGAGAATGGGTACCACCTTGAGAGCAAGAAGCTTTCAAGATAAAGCAAAGAATAATCTTTCAAGGGACAATGCAGGCTACCTCCAAAGGGACAAGCTCCTTTTTCTCTTTCTTGGGAGATCCTGGGAATGGAACCCAGGGCCCTTGCATATGCGTAGCAAGTGCTCTATCACTGAGCCATATCACCAGGTTTGCCCAAGAAATCTTTTTGGCTGTATATACCAATATACAATATTGAGCATATAAGTAGGTACATAAAAACACCCAAAGGAAATAGGCAGCTGGCTAGGAATGGTTCAAAAGCTTTAGTTTGCTGATTATCCAAGAGGATCTGCAAATGCTTCTTATGAAACAAGTCACATTGTACAGGCTGGCCTGCCTTTTCCCCTAGGCTAAGCCTGAACATCCCCCATGGAGGATCCTTATCTAGCTCTTAGGCCCCAACCCAGAGTCTGGACAACAGTAACTGCCCAACAAGAAACAGTGAAGGGACATGATAGCCACACCTTGAAAGGCCATACATGCCCAATATCACCCAGTATTCCTGAAATAGGAGACAGCCTCTGCTATATACAACCCTCTGGTCATGGCTACGGGTGCCTTACCCATCCTCTGAGGGGGCCCCAGGTGGGTACACGAGTACACAGATCCCTCAGAACTCGGATGACAATGACACATGACTTCAGCCCATTGGCTCTTGCCTAAAGAAGAAAGGACAGATTCTTTACATGAAAGCACTTCCCTAGAAACAAGACCAACATGGACAACACAAGTTTCATGGTGCTGCTTTGCCAAGGGTAAACGGTTAAGTGTGCACAACCACCAAGTTATGTGGTCAGCAGTGACTTCACCGGGTGTATGACACTGCTGTTACTCTTAACACAAAGCAGCAGCAGCCCACCTGCTTGGTCACAAGGCTCCTCAGGGGTGTCAAATTTGTTTACGTGCTCTGTGTTAGCAGCTGCACGGCCATGGCCACAGGTGCTAAGATCAGCACGGCTATCGTCAATGTTACAGAAACTTTATGGTAAAAGTTAGCCAAGTTAAAACTTAGGAATTCTCTACCAAAAGACAAAGAGAAGAACAAAATGCAAACCTGGAACCATTTGGCGTGTCGGAGGGACGCCAAGGCAGCAAGGCATTTCTGCCTGTCCAGAACATCCGGGGGATCGTTGACTGATAGCGTTTCTATTCATGGATGGAATAAGAAGACAAGGTACAGTTTGACCAAGGGGTTTCTGTCAGGTGGAAAGGGGATATGGCAGCTTCCTAAAGGGCAGCTGAGTCTCCCAGAATCTGAATTCATCTCCACCCTTGACCAGGGAAGGAGAAGCTAGAGTGCAATGAACTCTGCCCTGAGAGGAAATCAGAAAAATTGGAGGCCCCCTCCAAAAACAAAAAACAAAAAACAAAAAAAAACCAAAAAAACCAAAAAACAACAACAAAAAAAACAAAAAACAAAAAAATAAAATTAGAAGTGGGAAGTTATTCTAAAAGGAATAATCCATGGGGAAGGGAGGAAAGATAGGTGCATCCTATCTTCTAATAGACTATTCCCTTGCTTCCTCCCCATAAATTCTCTAAACTAGAATTTTCAATAGAAAAAAAAACGACAAAAAAGGTGGGGGAGGGGAAATAAACTCCCGCTCAGCTTCCCACAACAGCCATCCCAAGGCATCTGTGGCAAAGGGGACCACCTCCGCCCACTAGGCGGGACTGCCCTAGCCCCAGCCCTTGACAGAGAGAGTCCTGTTGGTCAAAGGTCCAGCGTCCCTAAATGGATAAGCTAGAAGGGCTTTTGCTTTTCAGCTTCAGATAATGAGAGCCAAAGGTAAATAACATAACTGCAAAAAGGGTGCCATGTCACTCTATGCTGCAACAGAGCCGGAGTGTGTATCTATTCTGCCATCTATCTGGGACTTGAATAAAGTCTGAGACAGTCATGGGAGAGGCCCAGGGAAGACAATGAATTGTGGACACAGAATCAGTGTCCTATGTGCAAAGATTCAGTTGGAAAGGCTTGCAACAGTTTACAATGTTGCAATGGGCCCTTGATGTCTCAGACATTTGACCAGACAGAAGTACCAATGGCAGAGGACAAAGGAAGCAGCCCTCAGTTCTGCTGCAACACAAACTGACCTAACAATTCCAATGTGACATTCATGCACAAGCCATCTGTTTGTCATTAACAACTGCAAAATTGTAAGATTACCAGGGACCCATTTTTCCAAGGCCAGAGAATGGCTCAACAGGGAGACAAGTTTAATGCTTATATGAAAGAAGATTCAAGGATTAAGAAAAACAATGGTGCAATTCCCTATGAAAAGTGCTACTCACTTTTAGTGCCACCAAATGGACAAACTCCCAGTGATCAAAGCCAATAGGAGATATGACCTCAAGAGTAAAGGTGGACAAATCTACACCTGTACCCTCTAATCAAAGCAGTCTAAAACTGAATAGCACATTTGAACAGTGAGGGAACACCAAGTTTTCAATGTCCTGCCAGCCTGCTTCAGCTTCCCTACCTCCAGCTAATACTTTTTCCATTTCTTCTCTGACAACAGGGGATGTCAGGTGGATGGTCAGGGACAATGGAGGTTCTTTTGTATTTTTTATCACAATTGCAGCATCATCCACAGATTGGAGTATTTCGTACTTGTCTTCTGTTACAGCCTGAAATAGAAAATGCAAATTTCAAAACACTCTCCCCAGAGCAACCAACAGTTCTAGTCGACTCTGCCAGTTTCTGTAACAGAAGCCAGCTTTTCAGGGTGTAATATGCCAGGTAAGCCTCCATCTAGCCTGTCCCTTAGCTGGCTCAGCCCTGGGGAATTTTCTTGCTATTCTGAAGGAGTCGTCACTAATTCCATAGGCAAGAGAAATCATTTCTACTAACTTCATGATGCAATGTGTACCAGACACAATGGCACACACCTGTAATCTCAGTGACTTGGGAGAATGAGGCAGAAAGATCCCAAGTTGGAGATCAGCCTGGGTAACTTAGTGAGACCCTGTCTTAAAAATAAAAAGGGCTGAGGACATAGCTCAGTGGTAAAGTGCTCAGGATTCAATTGCTAGTATCAAAAAGAAAAAGCACTGAGGGCTGAGAACAGTGGCAAAAGTCCAAGCTACTATGGAGGATGAGGCAAGAGAATCACATGAACCCAGGAGTTCAAAGATAGTGTAGTCAACATAGTGAAAACCCCATGAAACAAAAAATGCAACAGGGAAGAGCTTAGGATCAGGCAGGAGAACAGGACATGGGGCTGGGGATGTAGCTCAGTAGTAGAGCACTTGCCTAGCATGTACAAGGCCCTGGGTTCAATCCCCTGCACCATAAAAGACTTAAAAATATATATATTGAAGGAGAACAGAGTGTGAATCTTCCTTTTGTTACTTAGTAATCGATAACTTTGGATTAATCAATTTTTTTAAGACTGAGGTTTCTAAGCCAGGAGGTTTTTAAGGCAGAGGATCCCAAGTTCAAAGCCAACCTCAGCAACTTAGCAAGGCCCTAAGCATTCAGCAAGACCGATTTCTAAATAAAATACAAAAGGGCTGGAGGGCTAGGGCTGTAGCTCAGTGGCAGAGTGCATGCCTAACATATGTGAGGCACTGAGTTTGATTCTCAGCACCATATAAAAATAAATAAAATAAATGCATTCTGTCCATCTAAAAGTACAAAAAGAATTTTAAAAAGTGGGGGAAGCCTGGGGATGTTGCTCAGTGGTTAAGGTGATCCCTGGATCACACACACACAAAAAAAGTTGATTTGAAAAATGAACTGAACATGTCCACACCATAAGGCTGCAGGGACAGTTTGAAGTATGTGGGAAGCATAGGCAAATGGTATCCAGCTATGGCTATTTTAATGCTGCATTAAATTGCCAAACTGTGGAATACAAACCACATGAGGTTTAAAAAAAAAAAAAAAAAACTACCTCCATCAAGCACAGTGGAACAGGCCTATAACCCAGCAGCTCAGGAGGCTGAGGCAGGAGGACTACAAATTCAAAGCCAGCCACAGCAACTTAGTGAGACCATGACTCAAAACAAAAAACTAAAGCTGAGGATGTGGCTCTGGGGTTAAGCAACCCTGGATTCAATTCCTGGTATATAAACACACACAAAGTCTATATCCTATGACACGTTTGTAAGTATGTACTACAAATGAAAATCTATAAAGATGTTTACAACAATCTGATTTTTCCTTTCTTTATTATTTATAGCACTTCTGACAAAAACTCAAGCTCTTAATATTTTGGTTAAAGGAAACAAAGTAACTGTGCTGTGGAGAAAATGAAGGGACCAGAAAATCTAAATTAAGATTTATTTCCTGTAATTCCAGTCACTCAGAGGAAAGGAAGTGTACAAGTCTGCACCCAGCCTCAGCAACTTGGAAAGACCCTAAACAACTTGGTGAGATCCTATCTCAAAATAAAAACATAAAAAGGGCTGTACATGTAGCCCAATGGTAAAGTGCCCCTAGGTTCCCCAGTACCAATAAAAAGATTTATCCACTTAGGCACAATCAACCTTCTGGGCTGAATTTTTTTTTTCTTTTTGGACAGTACTGGGAATAAATCCAACGAGTTAAATCCCCAGCCCTAGGTATTTTGAGACAGGATCTTGCTAAATTGTCAAGGCTGCCCTCAAACTTGGCATCATCCTGCCTTAGCCTCTTGGATTGCTAGCATTACAGGTGTGTGCCATTGTGCTCAATTTGGGCTGAATAACTCTCAGTTGAAGGAGAGGGAAGCTGCTCTATGCATCACAGGATGTTCAGCAACATCCCTGTCCCCTATTAGGTGTGGGAGTATCCACCCCACCCCTGTTGTCTCCAGATACAACCAAATATCCCTGAGGAAAAACAATAACACTCAAATGATTAAGATAGCTCTTTTTTTTTTTTGAGTTGGGCTTTGAACTAAAAGAGTCTTGCACATGTTCAACATAAACTCTACTACCACCCAACTACAGCCCAAGCCCATACTAATTATTTTATCTTTTTTCTAAAGAGGTACTTCACCACTTTTACTTCTTATTTTAAGCAGGGTCTGCCAAGTTTCTGAGGCTGGCCTCAAACCTGTGATTCTCTTTGCCTCAGCCTCCTGAGTTGGGGGGACTGTAGGCAGGCCCTGTTTCATTATTAATTTTGGGGGGGAAGTACCAGGGATTGAACTCAGGGGCCCTCAACCAATGAGCCACATCCCCAGCCCTATTTTGTATTTTATTTAGACACAGGGTCTCACTGAGTTGCTTAGCACCTCGGTAAACTGCTGGGGCTGGCTTTGAATTCACAATCCTCCTTGTCTCTGCCTCCTGAGCCGCTGGGATTACAGGTGTGTGCCACCACACCCAGCTACCTTTTTCTTTCCTTAAATATTTTTTTTAGTTGTAGGTGGACACAATACCTTTTCATTTTATTTATTTATATGTGGTGCTAAGGATCGAACCCAGTGCCTCACATGTGCTAGGCAAGCCCTCTACTGCTGAGCTACAATCTCAGCCCCTCCATTACTTTTTTTAAAGACTCTTGCTGGATGTGGTGCACACACCTATTATCCCAACTTTGGAAGCTGACACAGGAGGATTGCAAGTTCAAGGCCAGTTGAAGCAAGTTAGTAAGACCCTGTTCCCAAGATACAATAAAGAACCCAGGGCTCAATGCCAAAGGCCATGGGTTCAATCTCCAGTGCCACATAGGGGGCAAAAAAAAAGAACGACTACAAGTTTTTCCTTTAAAAATACATCAATTTGCTACACTTAAAACTTTTTTACAGGGCTGGGGATGTGGCTCAAGCAGTAGCGTGCTTGCCTGGCATGCATGCGGCCAGGGTTCGATCCTCAGCACCACATACAAACAAAGATGTGTCTGCCAAAAACTAAAAAATAAATATTAAAAAATTCTCTTTCTCTCTCTTTAAAAAAAAAAAAAACCAACTTTTTTACACAATGGTAAAACGAATTTAAAAATCATAACTAAGGGCTGGGGTTGTGGCTCAGCGGTAGAGTGCTTGCCTAATATGTGCAAGGCCCTGGGTTTGATCCTCAGCACTACATATAAATAAAATATTGTGTCCAACCACAACTAAAAAATATGAAAAAATAAATAAATAAAATTTAAAAATCACGTCTAAAAATAAATACTATAGGGGCATCCTCTTTAGTAGGTCCTCAAGTGTTCCTAAGGTACTACACTCATTACAGATCTCAATTTTGATCTTTGTCCTGAATCCCAAACTATCAGCCCCATGTGCAAGAACAAATGATTACAAGTGAAAATGTTTTATTTTTAACAGAACAAGACTTAAGGCTCATTTTAAATTTCTTTTCTTTCCTTTTTTTGTAGCTAAATCCAGAGATCATCCTGAAGAGGCAGCATACGGCAGTGATGTACGGGTTGACCTCTTAACAATTCCCTGCCTCAGCCTACTAAATAGCAGGGATTATAGGAATGCCACCACGTTAACTTTATGCCTGCCTGCCTGCCTTTCTTTCTTCTTTCCTTCCTTCCTCTCTTTCTTTCTACTACTGGGGATTGAACTCAAGGGAGCACTCTACCTCTGAGCTACAACCCAATCCTTTCTATTTTTTTTGAAACAAGGTCTCACTAAATTGCCTAGATTGGCCTTGAACTTCTGATTTTCCTGCCTCAGCCTCCCAAATCCTTGAAGATTACAAATGTGCACCACCATGCAAGGCTACAATGTTTTCTTGTTTGTTTGTGTATGTGTGTGTGTGTGTGTGTTGCTAGGGATTGAACCCATGGCCTTGTGCATGTGACACAAGCAGTCTACCAACAGAGCTATATCCCCAGCCCCAACAATGCTTTTTTAATGGAACAAATAAATCAATGTTGAGAGGCTGGGAGTGTGGCTCAGTGGTAGCGCTCCCGTCTTGCATATGGGAGGCACTGGGTTCAATCTTCAGCACCACATAAAAATATAATAAAGGTATTGTGTCCATGTACAACAAGAAATACATTTTTAAAAAATAAGTGAATGTTTAAAAATAAAATGTCTGTCTGTAACCAGGTCTGGCTGAGGAAGGAAGATTAATTCTTGTATCATCTATCCACCCATCCAATTGAGTCTGGCTATGGATCTTGTGCAGCCTTGTACATGACAATCACTAGGTCCTTACTAGCTGGCAATGTATGGATGCCATTATCACCAGCAGGTGACTTCCTACAGACCCTCAGTTGCTCTGTGGTATTCTTTCTATTACCTACAGAGGAGGTCTCCACATGCAAGTATAAGAGGGAGTCTACATGATCCTTTTCCTTTGCCTCATGTCCTCCATTACACCCTCCTGCCTGCCCCCACCCCAGGCCATTGGTGGTGTTAACACTCACAGCGAGCTGGATGGCCAAGTTGTCAGCCACCTTGTCCAAGAGGGCAGTTGTGGGCTTCTCCTTACATAGCAGCACCAGCTCCAGATCCAAGTCTCCCTTCAGGAGAAGGCCTTTTGCCACAAGGCCAACCCTCATCACACCCCGCAGAGTCCTGGTCATATGTTCTGCCTTCTGTTCCCTGAGGGACAGACCAAAGCCTGGCTCAGTGGGAAGTGGGTATAGCCAGGACCCAGAAAGGTAGAATTTCTTAGGAAAAAGAGATGATGACCTCTACACTGACTTGTCTCACAACACAAAATCTCAAACTTACCCTGACCCTTCTTTGCTCTCATCGTCTGGGGGCACGTCCATGTTGTCAGACTCAGCATGCTCGCCACTGCCCTTCTCCTGCTCATCAATCCAATCAGACACAGCTTTGAGGGCTCGCTCAGTGTGGGACACCATGTTCTGCACTGCCTCCAGTTCCTCTTGTGTTGGATAAACTGAAGAATGCTTTGCCATCACGTGGCGATCATCATTCACAAAAATTCGCATTGGACGCTGGAAATGTGAAAACTAAGCTAAAAATGATGTAAAGAGACTAGGCAACCCACCACTTCTCATTTGAGTTGCACATTTCCAAATAGTCACATAAAAAATGACTGTATGAATACAACTGAAGGACTAGGAAGCTAGACAACTAAATTTAGCTGTTTTATCCAAGCAAAAGGAATGGGGCAATATACACCTCTATACTACAGTAGTCCCCCTTGTCCGCGGGGGGACACATTGGAAGACCCCAGTGGATGTCTAAAGCCGTCAACATGTCAAACCCAACATAATTCTGTTTTTCCTCTACATAGGTAAGTATATAAAGTTTAATTTGTAAATCAGGCAAGTAAAAGATTAACAACAATAACATAACAATTATAACAAAAACTGTAATTAAGTTCTGTGACTGTGGACTCTCTCAAAATATCTTATTGCACTGTACTCACCCTTCTTCTTCTTGTGATGAAGTGATGATGATACAATGCCTACGTGATGAGATGAAGTGAGGTGAATGACGCAGGCATTGTGACGGTGCACAATTTAAAACCTATGAATTGTTTATTTCTGGAATTTTCAATTTAATATGTTCAGACCACGATGGACCACAGGTAACTGAAACCATGGCAAGCAAAAACGCGGATAAGGGGGGACTACTGTATTTGAATTATTATGACACACATTACTTTATAATTTAAAAAGTCTAATATAAAATGGTAGTAGTCAAATGCTTTGGGGAATTACTACAAACATCTTTGTGCATAAATGAAAACAAAAACACAACTTTCTTACCATTTTTATTTCTTTTTCTGTAGTGTCTGCAAATCAAACTTTTGCTTATCTTTTCAAATTGTCACAGATTTCCTTGGTGTTATCAATACTTCAACTATCTATAAGACCAGAAAATCTTATTAGTTGCAAATATTTAATACATAGTTTCTAATTTTAGCAGTCAGATATTTGGCAGTAAGAACATGGGTGCTGCCTCACAAAGGGGCCTGTTAACACAGAAGGACACATCTTTGTTTTCAAGTATCCAGTGCTAAAGCAAGGCACTCAACTATAAATTCCCTTAAAATGAAAAGTGCTACTTTCTGGAAGTCAGGTCTGACTTCCAGCCCACACTCAGTCAGTTTTAACTCGTTTTTCTATTTTCCTTCATCATCTCTTCACATACAGTAAGCATTCTTTTTTCCTTTCTTGTGCCTTGCACACATCAGGCAAATGCTCTACTGCTGTGTCACACCCCATCCCCAAGTCTACCAACTTTTTTTTTTTAAAGAGAGAGAGAGAAAGAGAGAATTTTTTAATATTTATTTTTCAGTTTTCAGTGGACACAACATCTTTATTTTATTTTATATGGTGCTGAGGATCACCCCGTGCATGCCAGGTGAGCGCGTTACCGCTTGAGGCACATCCCCAGCCCCCCAAGTCTACCAATTTTTATAAGTACGGCTCAGTGGTAGAGCACATGCTTAGAAGCCCTGGGTTCTATCAACAGGACCAAAATATATATACAAGAATATTAACAAGCCTGCAAAAAAAAAAAAAAACAGTAAAAAGCAGAAAAGCTCATCAAAATCTTGGTGCTTAAAAAAGAAAAAAGAGCTTTAGAAGAGCTCTAGGCCTTAAATGTGCTAAAAAGAAGGAAAACAAGCACGAGAGTGAGCCAAAAGGCTTCTGTTTTATAGAAAAGCAAAGACCTTCTAAAAAACAGGCACATATGACAACTACATCAAGTGGTATTCCTTTGGGCTCAACTCTAGAGAGGTTGAGACAAACGAAAATAGACAATGTAAGTCTTCACAATAAAAGTGGCTATAATTACAATTCTGGTCTCTACTAAATAACATGCCAAGTATAACCTACTCAATTCCCGCTCTTTGTAAACAAACAGTCTGCCCATACTGAAATCTTCCAAAGAAGTAAACAACAACAGCCATCCACAGACCAGATGACTCCACTTTCCCCCTCAATCATACAAACAGCAAGCAGTTTCACGAACAAATCCTTACATAACTGACCAAATCAAGAATTTCTCATGTTGCTTCAGGACTACCTAGCAATTCGAATTACAAACATGTAAGTTTCTAAACCTTAACACCTAGGGAAAAACAGTGGGTGATACCCTCACAGAGCCAAGCAACAGGATGTAGGAGGGTTAAAGTCTTCATGAGAGGAGAGGGATAAAGGAACAGAGGGAGCATGGGGTGGGAAAAGTGGGAGACCAAGTCTGAGGCTTAGCTGCTCCCTGTGCCTGGACCCTTGGTGAGCCATTCAATCAAGTGGAAGTTCCACACAAACCTGAGCCTGAAACCCTGTGCCCTCAGCCACTAGCTGTGCCCTCTTGAACAGTTTCAGTGCAGCTTCCTCCCTACAGCTGCAGCATGGAGGTGGTCCCTTTACTCTATGCAGGGAGACTATGAAAATTACAGGAGTCAACCTACAAAAAGTATATGATAGAAATCCCTCAAAAATAATACCAACTTGGAGCTGGGGCCGTACCTCAGTGGCAGAGCGCTTGCCTAAGCATGCTGCTTATCTGTAACTACTGGGGGGGAAAAAAGACCAAATTGTACTCCCCAAAAAATCTACATTACCAGACTGATGCAGATTAAGTGATGAGCAAACTGCACACCCAAGTGTGTCCTGTAATAATGAATAATCTTTCAACTAGGAACATATGATACTGGGGTCATGTTTGGAAAGAACATCATTATCTATTTTATACATATTTCAGATACATTTATTACATGCCAAGTATTCACCCTAAAATATTCCAGAAAGGAGGATGAAATACCTGGCCAGCTTAGGCAACTGAGGGAGACCTTATCTCAGATTGAAAAGAGTTGATGATATGGCTCAGTGGTAGAGTGCCTCTGAGTTCAAGCCCCAATACAGGAAAGGATCAGGGGGAGGAGCCGATTAAAAAAAAAAAAATTATTAAAAACATATGAACCTATCAGACAATGTGGCACATACCACCTATAATCCCAGTTACTCAGGAGACTGCAGAAAGAGAATCCTAAATTCAAGACCAGCCTCAACAGACCCTGTCTCAAAATTAAAAAAATAAACAGAGATGTAGCTCAATGTTTAAGACCCCTGGGTTCAATCCCTAGTACCAAAAAAAATAAATAAAAGGTCTGAGCTGAGGTAGACTTCACAGCCTCAGCAACTTCACAAGGCCCTAAACAACTTAGACCCTGTATCAAAATAAAAAGAAAAACGGGCTAGGGAAGTGGCTCAGTGGTAAAGCACCCCAGGGTTCAATCACCAATACCAAAAAAATAAAAGGATTGAAGACTGTAGCTCAATAGTAAAGTTCCCCTGGTTTCAAAGACTATGGGAGTTGATAGCTGCTGAAGCTGGGAGATGGATATACTGGGGTTCGCTTGTGCATGTTTTAAAATTTCCATGACAGTTTTTTTTAAAATATCTTTATTTTGTTTATTCATTTTTATGTGGTGCTGAGAATCAAACCCAGTGCCTCACATGTGCAAGGCAAGTGCTATGTCACTAAGCCACAACCCAGGCCCACATGACAGCTTTTTTTTTTTTTGAGTTGTAGATGGACACAATACCTTTATTTTATTTGTTTTCATGTGGTGCTGAGGATTGAACCCACTGCTTCACATGTGCTAGACAAGTGTTCTACCAGTAAGCCACAACTCCAGCCCCTCCATGACAGTTTTTTAAAATATTTTTTTAGTTGTAGTTGGACACAATGACTTACTTATATTTATGTGGTGCTGAGGATCGAACCCAGCACCTCGCACGTGTTAGGCGAGCGCTCTACTGCTGAGCCCCTCCATGACAGTTTTTTTAATTGTAGTCGGACACAATACCTTTTTTTTTTTTCTAATTTTTTGTGATGCTGAGGATGGAACCCAGTGCCTCACACATGCTAGGCAAGCAAGCGCTCTACCACTAAGCCACAACCCCAGCCCAGTTTCATTTTTAACGCAGAGTAAACTTAAAAAACTTCTACAAAGGTGCAGACATGGCAGATAAACTAAAAAATGAAACAAACACAGCCTGTTTTCTGACAGGCACAAAGAGACACCTAAGCTACATGATAAACTGTGACAGTCTCCCAAGTCCTGTCACATGGCCACCAGGCTTGGTCTCATCTATGCTGCAATATCATCAATATGATGAGGAAGAACGCAATTTAAAACCCTATTTATTTATTGAGCTGGGGTTGTGGTTCAGTAGTAGAGGAGCACTTGCCCAGCATGTGTGAGGCACTGGGTTCAACTCTAAAAATAAACAAACAAAATAAAGGCATTGTGTCCACCTACAACTAAAACAAACAAACAAACAAACAAAAAAAAAAACCCACTCTGTGTTTATTGAAAAAGTATTTAGCATGCACCTCTCTTTTGTGCCAGGCCTTGGGCTATAGATGTTGGGACAATGATGGGTAAGGCCAACTAGGACCATTCCTAGAAACTTGACCATCTCGCATATCCTAAAAGAGAAAATCATTCCTTCCTTCCACGTGCAAGATCATGCCAGGCACTAAGGTTCATGAAACACAGTACCATCTCTTCACCTCAAAGTCTGCCTCCACTATAGATCTTGAACAGACTTTACAGCAAGGTTAAGACTAAGACCCTTTTATTAATGGGTTTGTAGGACTGTTAGTTTAAAACAACTTCCTTGGAGAAGTAAGTTGACTGAAACAGGAACATACCAGGTAGGGTGAGCCAGGGTCATACTGCATTGTCAGAAAATACACAAGTGTTAGAAACTAATACAGGCTCCCAGAAGGCATGGGAACTGACTTGTGAGGGCTCCTATAACTGTTCTGTATAACTGAGAACCAAAATGAATAATATTTCCATCTCCAAAAAGTTCTAAGCTGGGTGTGGTGGTGCATGCCTGTAATCGCAACAGCTCAGGGGGCTGAGGCACTATGTAACTCAATAAGACCCTGTCTCAAAATGAAGTACGAAAAAGGGCTGGGGCCAGGCATGGTGGTGCACGCCTGTAATCCCAGGGGCTTGGGAGGCTGAGAAAGGAGGATCACAAGTTCAAAGCCAGCCTCAGCAACTTGGTGAGGCGCTAAGCAACTCAGTGAGATCCTGTCTCTAAACAAAATACAAAATAGAGCTGGGGATGTGGCTCAGTGGCTGAATGCCCATTAGTTCATCCTAGTACCCCCACACACACCAAAAAAACAGCAGGGATTGTGGCTCAATGGTTAAACACCCCTGGGTACAATCTTAAAGTAGTTATAGAAAAGGCAAAACTAATGAACACTAGAAAAAAATTCAGAACCATGAGTGGGGATAGTGGTAGGGACCACTTTGGGAAGGAGCCTAAGAGGGCTTTTTAGGATGATGCACTGGTCAAAACCCACTCAAGAGCACACTCAAGATCTGTACATAACTTTAAAAGGCAGGGGTGGGGGGGAGGGGGAGGAGGCAGCCACAGTGGCACATACCTGTAATCCCCCATCACTTCGGGGGCTGAGGCAGGAAGATTGGCAAATTTGAGCCAGCTCAGGCAAGTTAGGAAGACCTGTCTCAGAATAAAAAACAAAGATTTGGTGTGGTGGCACACACCTATAATCCCAGTGACTTGGGAGGCTGGGGTCCTAAGCTGCTTAGTAAGACCCTATCTCAAAAATTAAGAAAGGGGGCTGGGGTTGTGGCTCAGCGGTAGAGCACTCTCCTAGCATGTGCGAGGCCCTGGGTTTGAGCCTCAGCACCACATAAAAATAAATAAATAATATATTGTGTCCGACAAAAAAAGAAAGAAAGGGGGGAAAAAAGGACTGGGGATATGATCCAGTGGTTGAGCACACAAGTTCAATCCCCAGTATCAGATAATAAAAAAAAAGAGCTGGGGATGTGGCTCAGTGGTAGTGCACACCCCTATGTTCATTCCCCAGTACTGGGGTGGCAGGAGTGAGGTAGGGCAGAAGGAAGAGAGGGGGTAAAGAAAAAGAACAATAATTACCTAAAAAACTACTGAAACAGCCAGCACAATGCTGCATACTTATAAACCCAGCTACTTGGGAGACTGAGGTAAGAGAAGCACAAGTTGAAAGCTGGGCAACTTGATGAGACCCTGCCTCAAAATAAAATTTTAAAAGATGGGTATTACAGCTCAGTGGTAAAGCACCCCTGGGTTCAATCCCCAGTAGCACCCCCCAACAAAAAATAACTCCAACTAAGCCACAGAGGGAAGACTTCAACTTTGTGCTGCTATTTAGATTCAAATACACCATAAAAAGTAAAGTAACTGGGCTGGGTTGTGGCTCAGTGGTAGAGCGCTCGCCTCATATGTGTGAGACCCGGGTTCAGTCCTCAGCACCACATAAAAATAAAAAAACAAAATAAAGATATTGTGCCCTGGCTAGGGATGTGCCTCAAGCGGTAGCACGCTCACCTGGCATGCACGGGGTGCTGGGTTCGATCCTCAGCACCATATAAAAATAAAATAAAGATGTTGTGTCCACCGAAAACTAAAAAATAAATATTAAAAAAAAATTCTCTCCCCCCTTTAAAAAAAGGAAAAAAAAAGATATTGTGTCCACGTATATCTAAAAAAATATTTTTAAAAAAGTGAAGTTACTAAAGGATAAATAGAATATACAGATAGTGGACAAGGTGTGAAACACAGGCTTAATCAATGAGCTGGGATATAGCTCAGTTGTACAGAGCTTGTCTAGCATGCACAAGGCCCTAGGTTCAATCCCCAGCACACACACAAAAAAGTCAATAGCATAACCGAAGCTGTGTGTAAAGGTATGTGCTCACTTTTGTCACCCTTCTCTTATTTTCTCTTTGTAACAGTGTTATGAATATGTTTAAACATAAGACAATTAAAATGGTTAACACATTAAATTTATACAAATCCCTTAATCCATAGATATTTTTAAAAAATACTACACTATATTCTGAGTATTGTTAAAAGCAAGAGAAAACATTGCCCACCCACCCCCCAGCTGAAGCAAAACCTCTAAAAATACCATTTGACAGGCAGCAAGGGTCCTGAATAGAAAACCACTCTTCCACCAGTAGGGAATGACATTCATTGAGTCAAAATACCACCCCATAGCCAGGCGCAACTGACTCTCATCTGTAATCCCAGCTGCTAGGGAGGCTGAGGCAGGAGAATCACGAAGTTTGAGACCAACATGGGCAGCTTAGCAAGACTCTCGTCTCAAAATCTGAAAAGGGGGCTGGGGATGTGGCTCAAGCGGTAGCGCGCTCGCCTGGCATGCGTGCAGCCTGGGTTCGATCCTCAGCACCACATACAAAACAAAGATGTTGTGTCTGCCAAAAACTAAAAAATAAATATTAAAATTCTCTCTCTCCCCCTCTTAAAAAAAAAAATCTGAAAAGGGCTGGAGATGTACTCAATGGCAAAGCACCTTTGGATTCACTCCCAAATAGAGAATAAAAACAGAAAAAAGAACCCCCACCATCTATTAACATGCCCCAGAAACACATCTTCACATAAGTGGCCTGGCCAGGCACAGTACGCATACCTGTAATCCCAGCTACTTAGGAGGATGAGACAGGAGAAACTCGAGTTCAAAGCCAGCCTCAGCAATTTGGCGAGGTGCTAAGCAACTCAGTGAGACTCTGTTCTGTCTCTAAATAAAATACAAAATAGGGCTGGGGACATGATGTGGATCAGGGGTTGAGTGCCTGAGTTCAATCCCTGGTACAAAAAAAAAAAAAAAAAAAGAGAGAGCCTGCCATATGTGAGTTTTCTGTCTGCTGTGTTCTCTGTTGAACAGAAACGGTAGGCAAGTCTTGGCTACCGGCGGCTGCCTCACTTCATTCTCTCCTCTAGTAGACAGGTGCACCCTTGAAGTGACTCACTTGGCTCTATTCAGCTGGTATGGCCACCACACCTGGCCTGCCTATAGTCCATTGATCCCTGGGCCCCCCTTCTTTAGACCAGGTCACTGTGGTGATGCCTTCTGAATCAGAGGAACAAAGCAAGTAAGAGTACTCATTAACTGATTAGGAATAAACTGCTTCTAATATTTTCTATCTAAAGGACTATCATATGTTTAAAGACTGGAGCTATTCTTCTTTGCAAGTCAACAAAACTAGCATCAAGATCTAGTTTTGACTCCAGATCTGTCAGTCAAGACAGCTGACTTGGGCCTGGGGTTGTGGCTCGGTGGTAGAGCACTCAACGTAACATGTGCGAGGTCCTGGGTTCAATCCTCAGCACCACATAAAAATAAATGTATTGTGTACAAAAAAAAAAAAAAAAGACAGCTGACCTGGCCTTGAACACCAGGGATTCCATCTCATGAACTGACTCCAGAGTCTTCAAGGTGAGCACCAACCTCCTTCTCAAGAGATTTTTAAGGAATGAACAATAAAGGAGGGAAGCCCACAGCACCCACCTATACACAAGCCTCCACTGCCCCATAGCAATCTACCTCCACAAAAGCTGCTCCTGTAACCATGGTCATGATGCAGCTTGGCACTAGCAAGACCAGCCTCATGAAAGGGGGGGGGGGGGGGGCGCAAGGCAGGTAAAAGTGGTAAGTGAAGCACCAGGATTTTAAACATGTTTTGCATGTGGTTTGCATATTCTAACATGCAGGAATTGGTATCTTTCTTTTGTTCCTGAAACCAGCCCACCCACAGCATGCAGAGTAAGATGTAAAACCACAAAACCTTTATGCCTAGGATGTGATAGCCTTCTTCCTCACTGACTACAATATGAAGTTCAAGGAACTTGCAGCTGGGAAAAAGCATACCCAAGTTGGCACACCAATGTTTGGAGAATGAATAAACAGGCATGACCCACCTATTTGCCACCTTGTTTCACAAAATCTTAAAAGCCTTCCCAGTGACTCTGGGGGATGGTCCTGAAGTGGATATCCATCTTAAAAAGACTGAATTAGGTTTTAAAATTTGCATGGACTCAAGCCAGCTTCTGGATGTCTCTAAAGCTAGCCCATCCTGGGCTCTGAAGTAAAATGATACAAACGAGCTACTCTCAGTGATTCCTTAAACTTTTTATAGTTTCACATCATCAAGAACATATGGAAAGCAATTTTATACAAATCAACCCAGCCAGCTGATGCTAATCTAAATTCTGTGCTACTCTTGAGAAATTGAATAATCCACCACAAATTTAAAAGTATAACTCAATTGTTCCTGGTTCTGCCTGCAACAATGTTTCTACTGACCAACAGGTCAAAAGCTAGGAATAGGAGCTATAGCTCAGAGGTAGAGCGCCTGCTTGCCTCACATGTGTGAGGCAGGGGTTCAATCCTCAGCACCACATAAAGATATTTTTTTAAAAAAGATTAGGAATAAACTACTTCTAATATTTTCTATTTAAAGGACTATCATCTTCAAGTTTATTTCCTTCCTTCATTTTTAGTGTCAAGTGGTGACACGTGTGTAATTCCAGTGACTATGGAGGCTGAACCAAGAGATCAGGCTCAGCAGCTTAGCAAGACCCCATCTCAAAATAAAAAATTAAAAAAGGGCTGGGGATGTAGCTCAGTTCTAAAACAACCCTGGGTTTGATCCCTGGTACCAATAAATAATAAAAATGTAAAGGGCTACAGATGTAGTTTAGTGATCCAGGCCCCTAGGACCTAGGTTCAATCTTTCATATTACCAAAAAAAAAAAAAAATACACTACTCTTTTCCTCCAGTGGTAATGCCTTGCAAAAATATTATAGCACAATAGCTTAATCACTATAAGACACTGAAACAGTCAAAAGTATAGAAAATGCCCCCACGACACAAGGATCCCTCCTGCTGCTCTGTGCTTAAATCCACTTTTCAACCTTCTCTAGCCTTTTCAACTCCCTAGCCCCTGGCAACCACTAATCCAATCAGCCATTTTGTATTTTGTCATTTTAAGAATGTCAGCACAAGATTGGACATGGCTGCACAGGCCTATCATCCCAGTGACTCAGGAGGCTGAGGCAGGAGGACAGCAAATTGGAGATCAACTTCAGCAAACGAGTGAAACCCACAGCAACTTAGTGAGACTGTCTCAAAATAAAAAGTAAGAAGAGCAAGGGATGTGGCTCAGTGGTTAAGCACCCTAGTTCAATCCCAGATACCAAAAAACAAAAATTAAAAAAAGTCACAGAGGAATGAGGGTGTTATCTCAGTGGTAAAGCAAGTTCTTACCATGCACCTTGCCTAGCATGTGCAAGGCCCTGGGTTCAATCCTCAGCACACACACAGAGAATGGCATAGAAATGGTATTGTAGACTATGTAACCTTTCATATTTCCTTATTTCACTCAATAGAGTTCTTCTTTTGTTGCTAAATAATATTCATTAGGATGCATGTGCTAGTGTTTGTTTAACCATTCACATACTGAAGGACATCTGGGTTGTTGTTGTTGTTTTTAATGTGGTGCTGAGGATCAAACCCAGGGCCTTGCACATGGGAAGCAAATGCTCTACCACTGAGCCATAACCCCAGCCCCCAGATCGTGACTCTTAGAGCTACTATGAATATGTATGTTTTCAAGAGTGTAACTGCTCCATCACATAGTAGTAGCTAGTTAGTATTTTGGGGTGCTGGGGATTGAACCCAGGGCCTTGCACATGCTAGGCAAGTGATCTACCACTGAGCTATACCACCTCAGTCCCAGTTGCCAGTTCAGTTTTATAAAAAACTGCTAAACCATTTTCCAAGTTGCAACCTTGGATTTTAAAAAGCAGACCTGAGGGTTAGCTCAGTAGTACAGCACTTGCTTATTAGCAAACTTGAGGCTCTGGGTTCTGTTACCAGCACTGCAAAAAAAATAAATAATTTTGGGGCAGGGTTGTGGCTCAAGGGTAGAGCGCTTGCATACCACGTGCAACGCCCTGGGTTCGATCCTCAGCACCACATAAAAATAAATAAAATAAAGCTATTGTGTCCAATTACAACTAAAAAACAAATATTAAAAAATAAATAAATGAATAACTTGGGGGGGGGATTAAAGAGACTCATATTGTGTGCAGAGAAAGAAGCTGTAATCCCAGCAACTCAGCAAGACCCTAAGCAACTTGGTGAGACCCTGTCTCAAAACACAAAAAGGGCTGGGGGAGCTGGGGTTGAGAGCTTGCCTTGCACATGCACGACCCTGGGTTGGATCCTCAGCACCACCTAAGAATAAATAAGTGAAATAAAGGTATCGTTTCCAATTACAACTAAAAAATAAATTAAAAAAAAAAAAAAGGGATGGGGATGTGACTCAGTGGTATAGCACTTCTGGGTTCAATCCCCAAAATTAAAAGAAAAAGACTTAAGTAACTTCACTAAAATTCATTTAATTCCTGCTCTCCCCTTCTGTTAGTTTATACAGTTTGCTTTGCGAAAATGTAGTTATCATCACTAGGCAGTCCACAGAACCTCCACATTTAACTGGTCAACAATTATTCCCTCCTATGAAGATACTGCACTGTACCTATGAATCAAATGATTATTAAATTCTCCTATGAACCTGAGCTGTTTGTTTCCATGTTTTTGACATTTTTTCCCTTAATATTGAGTCTATGGCTGGCCATGATCTCCTCGGTTCCTGATGCACCTGCCTTAGTTTCCAGAGTAGCTGAGATTACGGATGTTCATGGGTTAGTTTTTTTAATGTTTTTTAATAGTTATTGATGAATCTTTATTTATTTGTTTATATGTGGTGCTGAGAATCGAATCCAGTGCCTCATACATGCTAGGCAAGTGCTCTACCACTCAGCCACAACCCCAGCCCTGGGTTAGATTTTTTAAAATAAATTATAAATTACTGGAGACAGAAGCAGGAGGATCACTTGAGCCCAATAGTTGAAGGCCACCCTGAGCAATCAGTAAGACCCTGTATCAAAACAGAATAACAAGAGCTGGGGATGTAGCTCAGAGATTGCTGCAAAAGAGGAAAAAAAAGAAAGAAAGAAAGACAGCTGTTTGGCAAGTTTAAGACAAATTATGTGTTTCAAATTGCCAGCAGGGTCATTCTCATTATTACTAAAATTCTAAAAATAATCTGAAGCAAGTTTACTCACTTTAATAAAAAAGATACATTCAACTTTGTAACTAAATGATCCCTGGTGATCATAAATGGTCTAAAGAACATGGCCCTTAGGTAGTATACACATTTTGGTTTTAAAACTAGTTACATCTTTGGGCAGAGCACTTGCCTCAGATTCAATGGGCCCCTGGGTTCCATCCCAATCAACATACACAGTTACATTTTCAGTCTTTGTTACATAGACATTGTTTTTCAGATGTTGATGGATCTTTTATTCATTTATTTACATGCAGTGCTGAGAATCAAACCCAGTGCCTCGCACATGCTAGGCAAGTGTTCTACTACTGAGCCACCACCCCAGCCCTGTTAGACATTTTATGAGCAACAGGAAAAAAATTTTTTCAACTGGATATTTCTCAAGACATCTGAAAAACAACACTTACTTAAAATGTTTAAATTTCCAATTGTTATTTATAAAGGGATCACCTCTGGAAAAAAGGTATCCACACCAAAGACAATTTTTTAAAAAATATTTATTTTTTGGTGTAGATGGACACACCACAATGCATTTTATTTTTATGTGGTGCTGAGGATTGACCCGGGTCCCGCCCGTGCTAGGCGAGTGCTCTACCGCTGAGCCACAATCCCAGCCCCTACCATAGACAATTTTTAAAAATACAAGGTTCCCTTACACACATCTGCCTTCATTATGATTTCAGCACTTACTCTAAATATTAAAGCAGAGAGATAACCTACTTGTTTTGGATAAAACCGCCAAATGCCACAGCAGAAAACGGAAATCCACATCATCATTATAGAGCCCAAAGCCCACTTCACTCACTGTGTTGCCTGTAACTCCAACCCACTGTTAACAGTAACCAAATCTCTCTCTCCTGGGACTTTGCTAAAATACAAGGCGCCCAATATACAAAACCTAGAAAAAAACCAAATTGCTGAGAAGTTTCAATCAAAGCAAGATCAAAATAAAGGGATCCCCTAAGTTCCTGGACCATTCATGCTAACACTAGATGGTGACATTGCCCATCTTTCACAACTGCAAAAGGTGGACTTAACTTGCTGACAAAATGTAGCAGGACACCAAGGCCAAAGGCTTATAAAAATTCAAGTTTCTTGGGGAAAGAAATCACTCCCATGAGGCCATGAGGGGTGACTGGAAGGCACTTGAAAGAAGGGTGAAAGAGGTAAGAGACTGCTGCCTCACCCCGAAGAAAACATCTAATGCCTTTTTAAGGAAAAAAAAATTCTAAATTCTACATCTTTCTAGAGCCTAAAATCAGAAAAGATGCTGCCTATGGTTTACCCAAAGGAAAGAGATCAACTTACAGCACTGGCTCCACCTTGTCCTACCTGAAGGCCTTATCCAGAGATCCTAAAAAAAGCACATCTGTGAGATCAAAGTCTTAGTAGCTGCTCTTGTCAATGTGTTATTGGACAGAAAGAATTAAAGAAAAATCAGGACCTAAGTGACAGAATATTTGCCTATCATAAGACCTAGGTTCAAACCCCAATACAGGATTAAAAACAAAAAGGAAGAAAAATAAGGAACAACAAATTTAGATTCTTCACAATCAGGAATACAATAAGCCTGTGAAACTCTTACACTAAGGCTTGTTCCATTCCATTCACAAATCTCAGGGTGCAAGGGCTCTCCAAACAGCCAAGAGACAGCTTAAATGCAAAGACCCCAGCACTACTGGGCAGATTCAGTAACACCTGTCAGCTTCCTAGGCCTTTTCCCTTCCTCTTTCCAGCTGTACATGAGGCTCAGGTCTACACACTTTCTTCACAGTCTGATATGGTGGCCATATCCCAGGAGAGGACACACAAAGCATAGTGGCAGCACTGTGAGCAATCCATGGAGGGTCCCAATCACAAATACCTGAGGAAAAGACAGTGTAAAATCCTAAATTTAAGTCCTACATTCAGATAGCAAGTCTCATTTTCCTAGACCCTAAATATGCTATGATACCACTTACTGTAGAGACCACAAAATCTTGAACAACCAGAAAGATTCAGAACCACTGAAGTACCTGTATCCAGAAAAGGGAGGTTTATCACCGAAAAATGATACTTTCTTGTTGATCCATCATGTCCCTAAATAGCAACTTGCAAGCAATTTTGGAAATAGTGAGAAAAGTAAGCTTACTCTTCCCAAATTTGGTCAATGAACAGCGGAAGTACATGCAGGTCATCACATAGCACAAATAATTCATCCAGGTAGCAGATTAACTGGATTAGAACCTCATGGTTAACCTCAAGAATCTCAACTGCTCAGCTACTTGAGAAAATAAAGGTACAAAAGGATTTAAGAACGCACGTTTGGGTCCCAGTTTTGCAGTTAACAGTCCCCAAGAATCACATCACATCAGCGTTTGGGGGTAGGATGCTAATCCTAAACAATCTGGAAAACATTCAACATCAATGAAAACCACCTGATCTAAAGAACGAGCCATCTTAAATCCTAAGTTTGGCCACTACCTCGTGGAGGCCTCTGGACCAGAGATTTGGGGACACGACGAACCCACAAAGTCTTCCTCCGTAATAGGTCTAGAGAAAAGGTTTACGTTAAGGGGGAAATCCGTCTTTCCTCACCCTGTGAGGACAATGGAGGCGACGTTTCCCGCCTTAGAAACCTGTGACCCTCCAGGAACCCAGAAAGAACCTGGGACAAAGTGGAGGAGAGGGTGAAAAAGCAGGGGGGGGGGGGGTCCGTCCCTGCCAGGATGCTCAGAACCGGAGGGGGTGTGTGCTCTAGGCACGTGCGCGCGTGCGCCCAGCGGCGCAGCGACAGACAAAGCCCGGCCCGGGAGAGGCGGCAACCGAGGGTCCAGTGCGCGCGCACCCCCCGCGAGAGGCGCCGAAGCGGGCCGAGGGGCCACGAAGTGGGGGGGAGGATGCGCGCGCACCGGGTCCTCGCCGCCACCGCCGCCGCCATTTTGTTTCTTCGGCACAATGGGGGAGAGTAACGGCCGAGCGCGGGAGCGAGGCCGGCAAAGGAGAAAGGCATTGGATGTCTGGACCCGGGAGCCAAAAGCAAGCAAGAGGCACTAGAAGTCACCAGCCTTGCCACCGCAACCGCTCAACTGGGACCGTGCTAAGAGGGAGAACGGGCGGGGGGGAGGGGCAGAGGCGGGAGTGGGCCCAGCCGCGGCCACACTGACGCTTACCTTGTCGGCGTCCCCTTCCCCGTTCGCAGCCGCCGTCGCCTCCCTCCTGCCACAGCCCACCGGGGTCTCCCCCCTAAAGCCACGCGGTGCGCGCCGGGCGGCTGACTCCAACTGCAATGGCGAGAAGAGGAGGGAGGAGGAGCCGGGGCCGGGGGCGAGCGGGCGGGCGGGCGCGCGCGCCGGGGAGGTGCGGGAGCACGTGACCGGCGGAAGCCCCGCCCTTTCGTCGCTTTTCTCTCGACGTAAGCCCAGCCGGAATAAGAGGGAGGAGCGGAAAGAGAAGGAGGTGTGTTCTGGTCACGTGGTGGGAATATAGTCTCTGGCTGGTCACGTGCCTCTGGTGCTGGTCCCACCCATTGACGTATTTGCTTTGTCACGTGACACTTGCGAATGCAAAAGCCGCCTTTTCCATATGACAAGTTCTTTGGCGTTTTCTTTTTTTCTGTGTTGATAGGCCTGCGTCACGTGACAAGATCGACCCTTTTTTTTCAATGGCGGTTTTCGAGCAGTTGTTGCCACGTGATACACGGAGGGACCGGACCTTCCCGCTGCTGCGCGGCTCCCATCTTAGTCGGTCTCTAGGAGTTCGTAGACGGAAATGCCTCCGAATGTCTGGCACATGTGTGTCTTCTGTGCTAGAAACGCTGTCCCGTGGGGATTCGGCCTCCAGTGGAGGGAGGCTGCGCTCTTCCCATCTTCTGCTGCAGACGAAGACGAAAAGATGTGTACGAGGAAAATCCGGACCGAGTCCCTCGATCTTGTAAATCAAGCCCAGACCGGCCCTGCAGGGCGCCCCACTTCTTTGGTACCGAAACCTTCCTCCGTGTAGAGCCCGCTGGTCTTTCCCGCCCGGAGCCGCCAAAGACGGGAGATGAGTTGGACGAGATCCTGCAGCCCTCCCACCCCTTTGGCAGTTTGGACAGACAGGGAGGGCCACACAGGTGAAGACCGCACTGCGGGGCTCCACGCCGTTCTTTGAAGAGACAGGCTGAGACTCAGGACGTTTAGCCAGGGTGCGCTTGGGCCCAAAAGTAAAGGCACTGGTGACCCGGTACCTTCCTAGCGTTGTGTGGCAGAATCTTCACACCCCGGTTCAGGTCCAGGGTCCTTGGAGCTCAACAGGAATAGTGGCTAGAAAGGTGACAGATGCAATAGAATAGACGTTATGATTGATGTATGTACATTCCATGTATGTATTATGTGTCAAAATAGTTCTGCGGTCATGTATGACTAAAAAAAATAAATCGTATGGCAAAAAAAAAAAAGGTGTCAGGTGCCATGCTTATTTGGGTCAGGAAGTATTGTATCCAACTACAACTAAAAATACTTTTTTTAAGTTGCTGAAGAAGGTGAGAAGATTTGGGGACGTAGGGAAACGAACAAAAACGTTTTAATAATGGATCTTCAGGTGCGGTGGCACATGCCTGTAATCCCAGTGGCTTGGGAGGCTAAGGCAGGAGGGTCATGAGTTCAAAGCCAGCCTCAGCAACTTAGCAGGACCCAAAGCAATACAGCGAGATCTTGTTTCTAAATTCTTTTTTTTTTTTTTTTTAAGTAGAATCAAGTCCTTGTCCTGGGTTTGAGTTCCCGGTGTGACCAAGGCACTGAACCTTCGTATCTTGTTAAAGTAAAATAAAGCATCGGCACAGTTATTTGTGCAGAATGAATCTCCCAAAATGATATTTAAGAACATGTTCTTTTATTAAGAACATAATGTGTAAAAATATGATTACCCAAATGGATGCCTGCTGTGCCTACTGCTTTTGTATTATTTACACTTTACTTAAGATTTTGTGTTTTTTATTTTTTGAGATAGGATCTTGCCTTGTCCCTGTATGGCTGAGATTAAAGAATTTTTAGTAGATCATATATTCACATAATATGAAGTGTCAAATGGGCGAAAAGATGAAAGAGTAAAGTCAATCTCCCTCAGGCATCCAGGACTCCTTTCTCTTGGCAGCCATTGTAAAAGTTTTGTCTCTACAGGAATTATTGATGTTTTCCACACAAATAATAGATGATGAGTACCTCTGACAGTTTTGGTTCATTTGATGTGTTTCAGAGATCATCTCATTCAAATAAACTTCTAGATTAAAAGAAAATGTGGGGGCTGGGGACGTAGCTCAGTTGGTAGAGTGCTTGCTTCATATGTACAAGGCTCTGGGTTTAATCCCCAGCACCATAAAAAAAGAAAAAGAAAAATGTGGTAACCTGAATAGGTCTTGTTTTCAGATAAAATTCACTACCTTACAGATGTTTCAAGGACACTGATGATAATGAATGGTAATAACAGAACCTAAGTTGTTTTTAACATACATGATCTTATTTGAAGAAAGACCAACAATACCTCTTTTTTACACTGGAAGGAACTTGCTGAGTCTCGAGGGACTTGCCTAAACTAACAGCGCTACCAAGTGGCAGAACAAGAATAGTTTCTAGTTTTTTTGACTCCCAAGCCTATAGGCCTTTTTCAGAGAACCTCCTGTTAACATTTCTGAAGAAAATATTTTTGTTCTCATTGTTTTCTTTTCATATCTTTTATGTTTCTTTTTTCCTTCTGAAGAAAATGCTGTTGAATGTCTTATTACTATAAAGCAGCTCCCATCAAAGGGGCCTGCAAACCCAATTAAGAGAAGGTAGATCACAGTCTTAAGCACAGACCTTGGATCAAACCAGAATCTCCTCCACGAGGAGCCCAGGACCAATCTGTAGTTACTCAAACCTTAAGGAATTGCTTGAGTACCTGGCAAGGAGCAGGTTCTTGAAAAAGCAGTCATGCTTATCATTGATACCTATTGACTGGCACCCCATCCTTCCTAGTCTTTTTTCTTTGATACTGGAGTTTAAATCCAGGGCCTCATTCATGCTAGGTAAGTGCTCTACCACTGAGTTACATCCCAGACCTTTATATTTTACTTCAGGGAAGGGTCTCACTAAGTTGCTGAGGTTGACTTAGCCTCCTGAGTAGTTGGAATTACAGGCCTGCACCACTATGCCAGGCCAACTTGCACTTTTATAAGACCCACTGGGCTGAGTTAGAAATGTCAAGAAAAGAACAGGCAAGGTGCTGCACACCTGTAATTCCAGTGACTCAGAAGGCTGAGGCAGGAAGATCATAAGTTCAAAGCCAGCCTCAGCAGTTTAGCAAGATCCTAAGCAACTTAGTTGAGACCCTGTCTCAAAAAAGGCTGAGGGGGGATGGTTTTGTAGCTCAGTGGTTAAGCATCCATGGGTTGAATCCCTTATACCTCCCCCCAAAAAATCCCCTGGGCGCAGGTTGGTAAAAGGTTTTCAGCCCAAACTGATGAGCCATATCCAACATTGCTCCCTGTCCACGTTACTCCTTGGCCACCATAAAAGGTAGAAGATGCAGGATGCCATCTGCCCTCTCTCCTCCCTGCATCCCTACCCTGACCCAGCCTCCAACCACTGTCCTTGATTTCCACTGCCCCAGGATTAACAGTCCCCTATAGGTATCATACTTCTCTATCATCTTGCCTTACAAGACACTCCCTGACATCTGTTTGTTCCCCCTTCTGCTTTTCCCACCTCACTCTCATTAGTTTGACAGATCCAGCCCCTGCTCTTGCTGTCCTCCATTGAGGGTGCTGCCAACCTCATTAACAACACTCCCCTCCATCCATTGCCTTCCTCATCTTTGAAGATTACAGGAGAGTTCCTGATCATACCCAGAACTCCCCTTGAAAGCTAGACTGCTGCTGCCTTCCTTTCATCTCAGGATGGACATAGGATGACCACACTGCTTTAGAGAACAATTCCTTTTCCTTGCTCACTCTGTAGTTCAAATGGCAGATCCTCCTGCCTGACTCCAAAACTAGGCCCAGTGCCCAAACATATTAAGAGTAATTCACCAGGGGCTGGAGTTGTACTTCACCTCGTTGGTAGAATCCTTGCATAGCACCTGTGGTTTTGATCCTCAGCACTATGTAAAAATATTGTGTCCATCTGCAACTAAAAATATATTAAAAAGAGAGTAATTCACCAAAATTAGGGTCCATGGAGCATGAAACCTGATCTTGAAGCCACAAGGTGTGGTTGAGGACAGAGATTAATATCCTGTTGAAAGAACTTGATAGAGAAAAAGACACCAACCCAGAAATAAGCTGAATCATGTCCGTAATTGCAGCAACTTGGGAGGCTGAGGCTGGAGGATTGCCAGTTCAAGGCCAGCCTCAGCCACTTAGCAACACCCTCAGCAATTTAGTGAAACCCTGCCTCAAAATCAAGCATAGAAGGGGATGGGGATGTGGCTCAGTGGTTAAGTGCCCTATGTGTTCAATCCTCGATACAGAAAATAAATAAATAAAAACATGGATCTGGAGATGTAACTCGGTGATAAAGTGTCCCTGAGTTCAATTCCCAATAACATATAGATAGAACCAGGTGCAGTGGCACATGCCTCTAATCTTAGCTTCTCTTGCTGTTCAGACAGGGACAAGTTTGAGCACAGCCTGGGCAACTTAACAAGAGAGTTTCAAAAACTGAAAAGAGCCCGCGATGTGGCTCAATGGTAAAACTCCCCCTGGGTTCAATCTCCGTACCAAAAAAAAAAATCATTTGCATGCTTCCAGCTTGAAATTATCAGGAGTTCAGATACACACATCGACCATCTGTTTGACAGGTCTGTTTTTTTTTTTTTTTGGGGGGGGGGTGTACCTGGGATTGAACTCAGGAGCACTGGACCACTGAGTCACATCCCCAGCCCTATTTTGTATTTTATTTAGAGACAGGGTCTCACTGAGTTGCTTAGCGCCTCGCTTTTGCTAACGCTGGCTTGGAACTCTTGATCCCCCTCTCTCCTGTCTTACAGGTGTGCACCACAGCACCTGACAACAGATCTGTTTTATTAGGGTGTTTTTACACCCTTGTCTGAGCATTGTGAAATGTTATTGCCCATACCCCACACCTGCAGCTCTTCCTCAGCAGCTATCCTTAGGCTCAGGGCACGGTGCCAGTGCCATTCTGACTGCACAGAGAATCAGAAGTCTCAGAATTCATGCTCCCCCATGGTAGCCTCTTATTGACTTTTCAGTGCAAGAATACACAAAGAATGCAATCCACATGCCAAGCTCACATCAGGATCAAGCAGTGGGCGCCTCTAAAGGAAA